ATTTTTGTGTTTTGTTTTGTTGCTTGGGTCTCACTATGTATTTCAGGCTGGCCTTAAAATCATAATATAGCCCAAGCTGGCCCCAAACTTTCAGAAATCCCACCTCAGCCTCCTGAGTGCTGCAATTACAGGCTTGGGCTAAGTATTTGATGCTAAATCCCAGCTACTGCCTGTAATAGCTGGGTCTTCATCAGGCCCTGAGCTCATATTTTGTTGTTATTCTGTTCTGTCCTCCAGATCAAAAGTTACTATGGATTAGTTTTTATTTTCTAGAATGTTTTAGTAATTGTAGGCATAAGGGGGAGGGTAGGGAGGATTTAAAAAGAGGGTAGTTTTTGAGGGATGAATATGTTCATTATCTTGATTGGTAATTTTGATTGTTTGCTATAATATATATGACAACATTTATCAAATTATGTAGTTATATTCAAATGTAGTTTATGATATCAATTATACCTCAATAAACATCTCAAAATTTAAATGCAAGGTTGTTCTCTAGAAGTTAATTTGAGGTTAGGACTTGGGGTCTAAGCTGAGGGGTAGTATGTGTGCTTAGTCTGCATAGGCCCTAAACTCAATCCCCAGCAACCACAACATACCTACACGGTTAATTTGAAATTGCAAATTCTAGCATTCTACAGGGTAATAGATACAGGGAACCAGATAACTTTAATGTCATTCTCCATACAAGCCCCATGGGAACAAGAATCCTTTCTAGGGGCTGGGGATTTAGCTCATCAGCGTAAGTGCCTGCCTAGCAAGTGTGCGATCGTGAGTTTGATCCCTGGTACCGATAAAAAACGAAAAAGATTTTAAAAAAGATTTGTTTTAAAATCCTTTCTGTGCTCTTCATACCCTACCCCCAGTATCTGGCACAAAGTAGACACTTCAAACATCTATTTAATAAGTTAATGTTACCAAACAAAGGAGGGAAACTACCAATCAGGACCCAGGTTCCTGATTGAAAGTATTTAAAGACAATCTGAACTCCATTATGGCCCACCAAGTGTCCCCTCCTCTCACCCGTATAGTCCCACCATCTGAAGCTTGGAGAATGAAGAGAAAGTGAAGCAAGAATAAATCCTTAGCAGAGTCCTGTTAGCCCAAGAACAATAGAGGAACACTGGGATTACAGTTAACTTAGGGGAAAAAAATAATATCAAGGGAAAATCAGGGTTTGGAGTTTGTGAGGTTGTAAGGAAGATTATTTTAGAAAATAAGGAGCTGGGTAGGTTCTACTGTGTTAGCAAACTCACCCACCACTCCCACAGCTCAGCTATCCTGCAATCTGCTTACAGCAGTCCCAGAGAAAGCCAAAGAACCAGCTTCCACAACCAGAGCTATTTCCTGACTCATTCTTGAGTTTAGCCCAATGATCTCCCCCTCTTGGGACCCTCCCCTCTGCAGTTTCTTCACCATCCCCAGCCCACACCCTCTGTGTAATGTAGGAATGTAAGGCCTTTGGTGTTCTTTGCTAACTACAAGCGTGGAAGAGAAAGAGAGGTTCTCTTTAATAGAAATAGCTCAAGACCTTTTGATGGCCCTCCTTTGGCAACTACAGGCACCACTTTCCTTCTCCATCAGTCCCCTCCTTTCTCCATTTCCTTTGCCTTAAAGCAGGCCTGTGCCATTTAACAAACACCAAAGCTGACCTGTACCTTCTCTAGGATCTGACCTACATATTGCAGATGTTCTTTTTCTCCTTAGCCAAACTCTAGAGCCAGTCTCTGCAACCACTGTGTAGTTTCCCCCTCCTCCAACTTTACTTCCCCTTCATTTGCACAGAAGTCCCAACCCACTCGTTTTCGCTGAACACAGGCTGCTGCGGTTGCTGCTGTTTAACCCAAAGGGGCCCAGCAGAGGGCAGGCTGAGAGAAGGCAAGGAGAGGGATCTGTGTGAGGACCACCGAAGGCTGGTTCCAGATTTTGAAGGAACTCACTCACCTAGCAGCCTGGTTTGAGGAGGGGCAGGAAGAGGCAGAGGCCTGCGGAAGTGGCATGTACATTTTTTTCAGTCCCAGAATAGAACCAAAAGCAAGAAGCAAACTCAGGGTATCCTGTGCTCCTTTTCTCAGGAATCCGACAATGATTTTGTTCGCTTTTAAGACAGGGTCTCGCTATGTAGTTCAGGCTGTCTTGAACTTGCTAGGTAGCACAGGCTGGTTTCGAATTTACAGCAGTCCACTCACCTTAGCCTCCCAAACGCTAGGATTTCAGGCTGTGCTGCCACACTGGCTTTCATTCCTCTTTCTAGCAGAGATAAAGAATGCTGACTGAACACATTGTTTAGCCAGGCCAGCCTGGGCTACATTGTGAGTTCAAGGCCAGCCTGAAATACATAGATCCTGTCTCAAAAAAAAAAAAAAAAAAAAAAAAGTTATTTTACATTGAGTATTTTGAAGATAATCCAGGTTTCTCAACCTCCTTTTAAAAAGATTATGCTCCTCTATCCATAGACACCCTTAGTCATAGGAGCAAGACTTCCTCTTATTTCATATATATCCTCCATTGTATTTTTTATTGCTGTTTAATTTTTGTGAATTTATACACTAGTTGATGGATGGATTTGGGACTTTTAGAGTCCTGTTGAAAAGAGGAGAGCTTAATGTGACATTGAGATTCTTGTCCAACACATTAAAGATTCTTTTTAGGGATCAGAAATGAACAAAGGAATTGAGAAGTGCTTATGTATTCACAGAACTTTAGAAACCAAAAGGCAGAGACAGGGCCCCATGGAAGATGTTATAGCACGAGACAGAATGTTCTGTTCCCTAAGGATAAAAAAGGAAGCTATGGAAAGGTGGGGTGGGGTGCATCATAAATTCAGGAAGTACAGAGAAAGTAGAAATTGTTTTAAAAAAAAAAACCAAAAAAACAGGCATAAGGATGCATGCCTGTAATCCCAGCAGTGAGGCAGGAATTGCATTTGAGCCCAGGCTGACCAACTTCATGATTTGGTGAGACTCTGTCTCAAAATAATATATAAGTAGGGGCTGGGGATTTAGCTGAGCGGCATACGCACCTGCCTTGCAAACGCACAGTCATGAGTACAGTCATGAGTTCCAGCCCTGGTACCGATAAAAAAAAAAAATTAAAAAAAAAATATACAGACAGGCTTGGGATATGGTTCAGAAAAAAGTCCGGGGCTCACTCCCCAGTAGCAGGGTGGGGGGCAGTTTTAGAAAAAAAGAGATTTGAGGAAGAAGTCAAATCTCATTTTCACAGAGGACTTGTGATGTTAGTCTTGTCAACTTGGCTTGAGAGATGCCTACATTAGTAAAGCACACCTCTAGGTGTATCTGAACTTGATTGCCTTTAGAGATGCCTACATTAGTATAGCACACTTCTAGACGTGTCTGGGTGTGTCCTGGGGATGTGACATTCGGGACTGTTTAGTCCCTGGCCCCTTCTTCGGAGGGCTCTTTCCCTGCTGTCAACTTCCTTGATGCTATTAGCTGAGCCACTTGTCTTCACCATGCCCTTTGTCCACAGTGTTACTACTTTGGAGCTAGACAACCATGGACTGCAAGTTCTGAAACCAGGAGCCAAAAATAAGCATCTCCTCCTTTAAATTGAGTCAGGTATTTTTGACCTAGCAATGGAAAGTTGACTAACAATGGGGCTGCTTTTCAAATGTGGATCTTAACCAAATAATGAATGGATTGTGAGCAACAATTTTTGTATATGAGAGAATAGGGGAGGAAAAGTAAGGGTAAGGATTATTTTATATCATTTCAAGTATATACACACAGGATATAAAATATATGTAGTTTTTTTTTTTTTTTTTTTTTTTTTTTGGTACCAGGGATTGAACTCGTGACCATATGCTTGCTAAGCAGGTGCTTACCCACTGAGCTAAATCCCCAGCCCAAAACATATGTTTTATCCCAGACTATAAAGATTGAAAGCTGCTATTTGTGATAGAAAAGGAATGGAAAAAAAAAAGGATTGAAATAATTGCCAAACCTTGGAGTCAATCAAGGATGTCCATCAGTAGGTGATTGGGCAAATAAACTCCTGTACATCCAGACACTGAAATATTATTCAGTACCAAAAGAAATGTGCTTTCAAGTCATGAAAAGACAGGCAAGAAACTTAAATATATATTAATGAGTTAAAGAAGGCAGTCTGAAAAGGTCACACACTATGTGATTCCAACTACATAGTATTCTGGAGAAAGGAAAAATCTGGAGACAGTTGAGAAGGCAGCAGAAAAGGGGCTGAAAAGGCAAGCTATAGAGGAGCCTTAGGGTAGCGAAATGACTCGGTATAGGACCGACATGGCAGACACAGACCATCACACCTTTGTCTAACTCCATGGACTATGCACCAAGAGTGAACTCTAATGCAGCCTATGAACTCTGGTCAGTAATGATGTGTCACCGTAGGTTTACCAGTTACAACAAATCCAGCATTCTGGTGAGGGATGTGGGTAATGAAAGAGGCTATGCATGTGTCAGAGCAGAAATGCACAGGAAATCTTTATACCTTTTACTCAGTTCTGCTGAAAACCTAAAATCTGTCTAACATTTATTTGTGTACTAGGGATTGAACCCAGGGCTTTTACACTGAGCTACATACATCCCCACCCCCTTTTTACCTCCCTCTCACTTTTTAAAATTTTGAGCTGGGCATGGTGACACATGCCTGTAATCCCAGAATTTGAGAGGTTTAGGCAGGACAATTGCTGTGAGTTTGAGGCCATCCTGGGCTACACAGTGAGTTCAAGGCCAGGCTGAACTACATAGTGAGAGCCTATCTCAAAACACCAAAAAATAAATAATTAAATTTTGAGACAAGTTTTCACTATATCAATTAACTGCCAATGCTGGGTTTAAATTTGGGATCCTCCCAGAGAGCTGGGATTATTGTTGTAAACTACCACACCCAGTTTACAGTTTTTTTTAAAGAATTTTTTTTATGTACAGTGGAGTAAATAAATTCCTTCCCCACCCTACCCTTTTGAAAGAGGGAAAAAAATAAAACAGTTACACTCAGCACCATCTTGCTTTCTGCTTTATTTTCCATAGAGCTGGTTTCCATCCACACCTCTGGTCTTACCCACCTTGATTTCCGAATTCTCAAATCTTTGGTCTGTTTGTCAGATTCAAACCCCACCCACACTCCCTAGTGGCCACACCCACCCATCCACCATAGCTTGATGGAGCCTCTGTAAACCAAGGATGGTCTTTATTCCCTGCAAGAAAAAAATGCAAGAATGAAATGCACACGCTTCTTACATGCTTTGTCTGCACCTGCCCATGTCAACATGCTACAAGAGACGCTCATCTTTCTGGACTAGAGAAGAAAACTAAGTGCATAGGGTGGGGAAAAGATATCAGGATAGCTGCTCTCAGAATGAAAAAAAAGTGAGTGAGAAATGCTGGAATTTATAGAGCCCTGCCCTAGGGAATAGCTCTGTGCTTCTAAACTACTGTCGCTCATCTGTGTGTGTCTCTGTGTGTGTGTGTGTGTGTGTGTGTGAGAGAGAGAGAGAGAGAGAGAGAGAGAGACAGAGAGAGAGAGAGAGACAGAGAGAGACAGAGAGAGACAGACAGAGAGAGAAAGAGAGAGAGAGAAAGGGATTGAACTCAGGGCATTCACACTGAGCTATGTCCCCAGCCCTTTCATATTTTTTTAATTTTCACTAAACTGCTAATTACCAGGTGGGGCCTGCACTTTCAATCCTCCTGCCTCACACTCTCCCATGGCCTGCCCCCAAGTGCTGGGATTACAGGTTGCACACCAGGTCCTCGCTTCTCCGTGGCTAGCATCTCCCTACCCTCACACTTAGGAGAGTCACTCAAGCCCTCTTCCCAGTCTCCATTCCACAGTGTCGCTCTACCTACTAATGGATTCCTGACTCTGCCCACTGATTCTCATGTTGTATATTCCCAATTGACCTTAACTCAAACGTTCTGTGTTCTACAGGCCTCCTGGAGGGGGTAAAAAAAAAGAGATTCCAGTCCCCTTCACAAGCTGCTTCTCTCAAAAGTCCTTTCCCCAAGGTCCATCCCTCATCGCCCACAACTCACAGCAGAGAATTCTTGTTACCTCAGGATTCGCAGCAAGGCTGCCTCACTCCTCCTGCATGCTGAGGATTCGAAGTAGGATGTTATACACATCCTGCTCCATGTAGCCCTGTACACGGCAAGAAAGACAACAGGAGATAAAGAATAGGAAATGGAACTAACCAGTGCTAGAGATGTTCTATGGTACAATGCTGTTATTTACTGTAGTCCTCATTTACAACTTTAGTTTTAAAATACCTAGCTTTTCCACGGCTGTTTCCCTATCCTTGCAGGAAGGTAATAATGCCTACTTTTCAAGGGTTGCTGTGAGGGTTACAATTATGAATGTGAAACAAAGCACCAGAGCCACAGTAGTTCTGTGTTTTAAAGGAACAAGCTACCCACGTTTTCTTCACTGGTTAGGACACTGAGGTGCCCTGCAGGAAACCCAAGAAAGGATGTAGGGGACAGGAAAAGACTTTACAGTGGGTCAGGAAACAGAAAAAAAAGAGGGCAAACACTCCCCAGTTTCACATTCATACACAGCGTCTCTTGATCTAGCTCAAGAGACCCAGAGACCTCTCAGAAGTCCTTTCTCTGGTATTTTAGAACTGGTCCAGCTCCCTGAGAAGTGGCAAGTTTGTGCAGGAAAGAGAAGGGGTTCCAAATACAACATCCCCTACCCAGCTGGATGTCTTGCCCATCCCCAAACTCCACCATGCTCACCTGAGCAGCATTCAGTAGATGATTCCTATAGGTAGTGATGATCTCTTCCTTGTTTTTCTGGGAATCCTGGGAGTGAGCAACAATGGAAAGTCACACAACTAACCTCTCCCCATTCATCCGGGTGTGAGGAGCAGTAAAGTGAAGTGGTCAGATGTACTAGCAGCTTCCTTGGCCTATCACAGCCACTCTGGCCTGGCCTCTATACCTTCCAGAATGTCTGCCAAATGTCCATCACTTCCACTGTCCACCCTTTTCTCTAGCAGTGTCCACTTCCCAGAAGACCAAAACACACCTGCAGCTGCAGGGCAAGGCGAGTATTTTCTCCCCGAACCGATAGAACTTCCTCTGAAAGCTGTTCCAACTTCTTCAACAACTCCTTGATCTAAAGCCAAAAGGAAAAAAAGGGAACCAATGGGGCCCAGGTCATCCACCCTCTCCAAACACCAGCCAGGGTCAAGTTCAGCTTCTTTTGATTGAGTATCTAATACAAACTAGATACTTTTAGATACATTTCCCTATTTAATATTCAACACTGCCTTCTGAGAATTTAATGCTTCTCTAGGGAAGAATCATTATCTACATTTGCAGATAAGGAGCCTCAATTTAGTAATTTGTCAGAATAATACAGGTAGTAAGTGATGATAATAAGTGATGCAATTATGATTGGAGTCAAGACCTCTTTGATTTTGTAGTTTATGCCAGTGGCAGTGAACCTATGGCATTGTGCTACAGTTAGCTGTTTGTCATCACCGAACACTTTAAAGATTCACCATCACTGGTCTATGGCCTTAACTCAGTATTGAATCTTAACCCACTTCTGGCCGTTGACCACTGAGGGGGACAGAGATGAGTCCTAGTCTCTTACAAGGCAGAGACACAAATGCAGTTATTCACAGCCAGCAATAATATGGATGGTGCCAGTAGGAATAAAATAGCTACTTTTTTGAGGAAGAGCTCTGGTATTTTAGAACTCCTATTCATCAGATTTTAGGAGAAGATAGCCAAGGATGTTCTGGATGCACGTCACCCACTACTTCTTAGTTGCCATTTACTTCTCCAGTTGGCCTCAAAGTAGTTATTCTCCTGCCTCAACCTCCTGGGTGCTGTGATTATACGTATATGCTCACACCAGACTTCAGTAGCTAGTTTTTACCAAGTATATTTGTTCTAAGTATATTTAAGATCTCACCATGATTCTCATAACTACCTTATTATTAATTTCCTTGGATATGTTAAATAACTTTCTTAAGATCATGAGACAACTGTTTGTTTTGATTTGTCTTTCATAGTGCTAGGGATTATACCCAGGGCCTTACATATGCTAGGCAAACACTCTACCGCTGATTTACACCCTTAGCCTAAGTTTTATTTTATTTGATTTATTTTTTTTTTTTGAGACACGTCTTGCTATGTAAGTCAGGCTCACCTTGAACTATGTAGCCCAAATTGACCTTGAACTCGCAGGAATTCTCCTGCTTCAGCATCCTAAGTGGTAGGATCATAGGCATGAGCCACTACACCCAGCTCTCAGCATAAATTTTAAAACTGGAATTCTATCCAGACAATCCCACATCCTTAACTACTATGCTATATTGTCTTTTGCCATTTGTCTACTTTTATCTTCTCCTTCAGCAGAACACAAAATTCTTCCTTTCTTTAACCCCACTCTACCTAATTCCTATTTTGAATAACATTCCTTCTGTTTGTGTGTACCCTATACTAGGTAAAACATGTTCTTTATATATTTAATTGGTTAAATTTTATCATTAATTCACATTTGTCCGAATTCACTTCACAGGTAGTTCTAGAGCTACTAAATTGATTTATAAATTGTTTAGAATTTGTAAGATTAGAAATTTATAGACTCAACTCACTTTTAAAACAAACATTAATTAACTCCAATATATAAGGACAATTTTCCAAGTTTTTCCCTTTGCTTTGGTATCTTCCTTGCTAATGGAAATCTTTCATGAAACTGACCCTGAAGCAGGAGGGGAAAGGTGATAGCTGGATCGATTTATTTATTTATTTATTTATTTATTTATTTATTGTCTTTTTCGTTTTTATCGGTACCAGGGATCGAACTCATGACCGCACACTTGCAAGGAAGGTGCTTATGCTGCTGAGCTAAATCCCCAAAGGTCTATTTAACCCATCAGATCTTTTTTTTTTTTTTTTTTTTTTCCTTTTTTGAGACAGGGTCTCGCTATGCAGTTCAGATTGGCCTTGAGCTCACTTTGTATCCCATGCTGGTCTCAAACTTGCAGTGATTCTCCCAGCCCAACCCATCACATCTTGAGTCACCTCCAAACTTCAGTAAAACCACAACAACCCGTTATGCTGTTAGGGCCTCTTCTCAGGCTAATACACTAAATTAAAATGTTGCTGGTTGTGGTAGCACACACCTGTGATCCTGCGCTCAAAAAAAAGGGCAAGAGGATCATTGAGAGTTTGAGGCCACCTTGGGCTACAGAGTAAGACCCTGACTCACCTCATGGTTAATAAACCATGGCCATGGTGCTACTGGGGTTGCCCTGAGCACCTTGTTTCTGAACTCTGAGTCCTAAATTTTAGTGCCCAAGCCCTCTTCTCTTCTTATCTTACCTTACCTCCAGTCTCAATCCCACGACTCTCAGCTCCCACAGAGCACAGTGTAGCTCTTGCAAATGATTAATACTCTATTTGCAGCATAAATTCAACCAACTAAACGTTGAGAGATTTGGGTTAGCAAACTGCTAAACAAAAAAACAATGTTTAGCAACACATCCGTGGCTGCCCTAGCCTCTCACCTTGACCTCCTTGTCCCGACAAGCTTCTATGAGATGCTCTGTCTTCCCTTTCAGCAGCTCAGCTGTTTTTTCAAACTGCTCAGAGCGTCCGCGGAGCTCACTGGCCTGGCGCTCCTGCTTGGCAGCTAGGGTGGCTAGGTCCTCACTACGGCGCCGCTCCTCAGCTGCAGCCTCCCGAAGTCGACCCATTTCCCGGCAGGCTGTATTGTACTTTTCCAGCACATCCTTTAGCTCCTGGCCCCACGCCTGTGCCTGGGCCACCAGTGAACCTCGAGTTTTCTCATGCTGTCGTAGGCTGGCGGCCTCCCGGGCCCTCAGCTCAGCCACCTCCTCTGTGGCTTGATAGAGCAGCTGCTTCAGCTTGGTGATCTCCTGGCTCTTTCCACTCATTGTGGCCTGAACAGCCCGAAGCTCTTCCTCTAATCTTCCCAAGTCTTGCTCCAGGGCTGCAACTTGCGGGGAGGCTGGGAACTTTGCAAAGGTACCTGGCTCCCCACCAAGGGAAAGGGATGCCCGCAGACTCTGGTTTTCTTGTTCCAGCTGGGCCAGCACCTGCTGGGCCTCACGGTGCCTGTCCACCAGCATGCTGATACAAGTGTGCAGCTCCTCCAGGGGCTCTGCAGCTGTGTTCCTGGCACTGGCTTTTCCCACCACATCTGGGGGAAGGCAATGCCACAGCTCCTGGAGGCCACTGCTCTGGGAAGCCAGGCGCTTGCGCAACTTCTCAGTGGCCTCCTTCTCCATAGCCAGTTCATCAGTCAGCTGCCCCACACTCTTCTGCAACTGCTGTACCTGGACCTGTGCCTCAGGCTTGGGCACGAACTCTCTTTGCAGCCGCTGGCTCAGAGACTGCAGCTCCCCTTGCAATCGCTGCCGCTCTCGACCCAGCTCCCCTAGTTCCTCCAGCAAGTTATTGTTGCTCAGTCTCAATGCTGACACCTCCTCTAGCTGTCCTTTTGCCAAACCTCCTCCTGGGAGCTGTTCTCCAGGGGCCCCTAGAGGTTCTCCTCGGGTCCCAGGGGCCCTCTTCTCCTCATCATGCTCTTTGATGCACCCCAGGGCTGTCTTTGGGACTCCTGCCTTGGACTCCTGGTCGGGGACCTCAGGTTTTGCCTGAAGTCCTGCCTTTGCACGATCCAGCCTCACCAGCACCTGCTCCAACCGGGCTTCCATTTTCTCCCAGGCAGCTGCGGCAGCTTCAGCCCGGGGAGTCCCCAGGGCTCCCTCTAGGACTGATCTTGACAAAGCCCCTCGAGCAGCATCCTTTTCTCGCCACACTGCAGCTAGTTCCTCCCTTAGTTGTAGCAGGAGCTGATTCATGGCTGCTGTGCCTACTGGTTCAACTCCTGAGGCTCGAAGTCTCTCTTTCTGACTAGTATGACTGGAGAGAAGGGTCTGTCCTCCACTTGTCAGCTGCTGTTCTGTAGCCTTTCTGGTAGCCTCAGACCCTGGGCTCTGGAGTAGCCCCTGTTCTTGTGGTTGGGACGTTCCATCAACTCCATGCTGTATCTCTCCTGGGGCTGACTCCTCGACCTTCTTGGCCTTTTCGTTGACTATGGCTGCTGACTGCTGCTGCTTCTTCAGCTCTTGTATATGCTCAGCTAGCAGTTCCAGAGGACAGCCTTGCTCCATGCCATCTCCCACAGGCCGGAGTCTACAGCCCTGGCCTTCGGGAGCTCTAGGGTCTTGGGATAGAAGGAGCCCTAGCTCCTGTACTTGCTCTCGAATCTGGTTTTCTAGGCCCACGTAGGCCACAGCCTGTGCTTTGCATTCTTCTGTCTTTTGAACTAGCTCCTGTTTCAACTGAGAGACTTTCTTCTGCTCTTCTTCATACTTGCACCTCCACTCTTCTGAGCATGGGTCTTCATCCTCGTCTTCCTCCTGCTCCTCCTCGGGCTCTGCTCTCCATGGGCTCTTAGGGAGAGAACTCACATGGGGCTCAGATGGAGAGGCCTGTGGTGATATAAACAGAACAGTAGAGTAAAGCCACACTACTCAGCTAGCTTCAGAGAGCCTTCCTTCTTTTTTTTTTTTTCCCGCCCCCAGCCTTCCTTCTTATAAAATACTTTGATGCCCCAAGAACTAGGAGGCAATAGTTCCAATGAATTAGCCTAAGGTGACTCAGAAGCAAAAAAGGAGACACTTAGATTCTTACCTGGGATGCAAGATCTGGGTGTTGAACCAGCCTCTGACCTGTAAGAAAAGACATGGGCAAATGAAAAAGAAGGCAGGTCAGTCCCATGTACTTCTAGCTCATGCACTGTCTCCAGACCTTCTCTGAGAGGTGTAGCCCTACAGTGTGATGACTTGACCACACAGCCTCTTTTTTTTTTATCGGTACCAGGATGGAACTCATGACCGCCTACTTGCAAGGCAGGTGCTTATGCCACTAAGCTAAATCCCCAGCCTGACCATACAGCTTCTTGATGCCAGAAGCCACACTTGTTCAATAAACTCCTGGCTATACAGCAACACTGGTATCCTATCCCAGAGATCGGTTACTCTTTCATTTTGTTCAGTATGCATTTATCAGTCACTGTTTTATGCACTAGGACTTCCTTGGTGAATAAAACAGAAATGGCCTGTCATCTGAGGGGTTTATGGTCTAGTAAGGAAGAGAGATTGGCCAACAAATCACTTGGATGATATACAATTACAACTCATAAATGCTGACAGGAACACTGGCCAGAGTGACCCTCAGTGAGAGACAAGGTTGCATTTTGGAATTTTGTGACCATGCTTTTGGGAAGTTGAGGTCATCTCATAGTAGTAGGAATAAATAAATTCAGTTAAGGTGACAATCATTTATCCCATGGAATACTTCATGGGAAAAATGGAACACTAGTTTTTGTTTGTTTTGGCATCATAGGAGATTTTTAATCAGAGCTTCACATATGCCCTTCTCCAGCCCATTTTATTTTACATTATGTGATTTTTTTTTTTTTTTTTTTTTGGGTACTGGGCACTAACTTAGGGCCTTCACACTCAGCTACAGCCTCAGTTCTTTGTTTTATCTTTCCCATTTGTTAATTTTAAGATTGAATCTAACTAAGTCGCTAAGTTGCCCACGCTGAGCTAAAGTTTGGGATTCTCATAGCCGGGCGTGGTGGCACCTGCCTGTAATCCCAGCACTTGGGAGACTGAGGCAGGCTGATCATTGCAAGTTCAAGACCAGCCTGGGTTACGAAGTGAGCCCAAGGCCAGTCCGAACTGTATAATGAGACCTTATCTCAAAAAAGAAAAAGAAAAAAGGATTCTCCTGTCTTGGCTTCCCAGAGTACTGAGATGACAGGCATGCATCACCTCACTACATTTAATTCTTTTTTATTTTGAGACAAATTACCTACTAGTCTGTAACCTTCTGCCCCAGTGTCCTGAGTAGGTCTAAAAAAGCCTTTTTTTAATTCTTTGGTTATTGAGGAGAATCGAGAAATTACAAAAGAGCTTTTACCTCCTCGCTGCCGCCGGTTCAGGGCCTGCCGCAGCAATCTCCACAGTGCTTTGTCTCGTGTACGCAGAGCATAATGCAGAGCATCATGACCCTCTCTGTCCACTGCCCCTGCGTCTGCTCCATGGCTCAGGAGTAGTTCAGCCACCTCTGCACTGCCTTTCTCACAGGCGAGAATCAGAGCTGATCTGTAGACGGAGACAAACCTGAGTATAGGCTTTCCTCACAGAATCCGGGAATTCTGGATGCAGAAATTCCTCTCAGGAGGCAAAATCTTTTACTCAGTGGAATGAGGACAATGACAAAGCAGTGGACCAAACCAAAACTTTTCAAATCTCATTCCTTGGAGTTGCAGCATCAGAAAGCAGAGAAACAATTAATAGGGCCCCATTTTTTATCTGCTGTATAAAGCATCAAGGTTCTATGTACATTTTTATTAGGAAAAAGAATCTTATTGTTTAGAAGACAGTTTGAAAGCCAGTAAATTAAGCCAATGCCTCCAGAGGTATCCATTCCACTTCTGGGGCCATCTGTGCTAGGAAGATGACCCTGCAGAGGGCAGAAGCCTTCTAAGACATCACTGGGAAGGAAGGAGGTTTCCACGAACACAGAAATCAGCTTGCTCTCTCCTTCAACACACACACAGATGTACACATGTGTCTCTCACTAGCACTATTCATACGTTGGCCAGGGTCTAGAAATCAAGGTGGGAAGATGGGGAGGGCTCACTTGTTATCCTTGTCCAAGACATTAACCCTGGCACCTCTCTGCAGGAGCTGTGAGCAGATAGCTGCATGACCACCCAGCGATGCAATCATCAGGGGTGTACGTCCATCCTGCACAGATTGTGGGAAGGGATTGATGAGGATCCAAGTAGAACCAGGAACTTGGCACAACCCTACCAACTCCCCTCTCTCTACACCCCTCAAAAAAAAGCCTATTTCTTAGAGCTAAATAATTCCTTTTAGGAGATTAGAAACTCTTCAAAAAGATAAAGCTTAACTTCTCTCTGAAGAAGAATGGAAAGAGAAAAAATGGCAGACTAGTACTGCATAACCTCAGATCAAGGAATTTAGCCAGTCAAACTCAAGAGAGCAGTTAACCTCCCCCTATAGGGCACTGCCCATCTGACCATCTGATGCTCACATTATCTAGCACATCCAAGAAGGCTTCATGGTCACACAGCAGGAGCACACTTGAGGCACAGCCAGAAGAAGCTGGACAGGGTTAAGAAATGGTTGGGTTAGGGGAAGTATAAAAGACACTCACTCAGACCAGCACCCTCTCTGACCGTCTCAGCAGACGCCCCTGGATGCCCTTTCCACCCCTCCCCACTCCCACCCTTGAGTCCCTGCAGCTCTGTTCTCACCAGTCCCTGGCACACACCTGCCCAGTGCAGTGGAGTGCGGTTTTCTCTATCCACAGCATCTTCATTAGCACCGTGCTGCAAATAGTCACAAAGGGAGGCAGCATGAAGCTTGGCACCAACAACTTATCTCACACTCCTAGTTGGGCTACCAACTTCCATGGTAATATGGGGAAGAATGGGAGAACAGTGATTGTGGGAGAGGCCAGCTATTCAGCAAACCCAGCCCATCCCTTATGGATGACAGAATTCTGTTCTGAAGAAAAATCAGATGACAGAAAATAAACATGTTAAGGAAAATAATCTTGGAATCCATGGCTGGTATTTGATGATAATGATTGTGAGATCTGGAAAGAGTCGGGAAGAATGAAAGACAGCCACATGTCAATGGCTTATTGAGGTAACTGTGCCTTTTGTAATTTTAGAGTTTTATTTATAATTTGTCCACATCATTTTACGTGTATATTTCTCTTTATGATACTTGACTACAACTCCTCAAGAACAGATGGTAGGGCTTTGGTTTAATTTTTTTTTTTTTAATCAGTACCAGGGATCGAACTCACAACCGCCTGCTTGCAAGGTAGGTGCTTATGCCACTGAGCTAAATCCCCGGCCCCTACTTTGGTTTAATTTAAGCAGCTCTGCTCTCCTCTTACTGCCCATCATTGTAGCAGTCTCTGCCAATGGCAGAAACCAATTGTCCTTGGCAATTCTACTTTGTGACTACCTTTGAGGGCAGTATTAAACATGATGTCTGTTAAATAAATGTGAATTAGTGGATAAATGATAACCAACTTTCTTACTGGGAGCAAAAACGGTACATTTGGCTAACTATTGCTTATGACTATAATTCAAAGTTAGGAGAGGCTGAGCCTATTTCTGCCCTTTGCAGGAGTGGTATCAAAGGGCTGCTCTTACCTGCAGCAGGACCTTGACACACTGTGGCTGACAAGAGATGGTGGCCAAATGCAGGGCAGTGCTTCCTGGAAAGAGAAAGAGGGAGAGAGGAAGGGTGGGTGGCCCCATGCACACAGGTGACTCACAGGGAGGGAAGGCAAGAGACGCACAGATAATCAGAGGGAGATTAAAGAAAGAAGCTCTCAGTCACACAGGGCCGGAAATTCCTGTTCCCCCAGCACCTAGTACCAATGGTAAAGCTGAGAATGGGGATAAGGTATAGCCAGCTTGCAGGGAAGAAAGCCCATCGAGGGACACCTGGCCAGGACTTACTGAGGAGAAAACCAAGTGTCCATACTTGTAACCTCCAGCCAGAGCCAGCACCATCCACCCTGCTGCTGCAAAGGGACAACAAGCTGGCTAGGTCAAGCACTCAGTGTAACTCACCATCCTCATTCATGCTGTTGATGTCAGCCCCATTTGCAAGAAGTATACTCAGACACTCTGTCAGGCCTTTCGAGGCTGCTAGATGAAACCTGCCAGGATTAAAGTTAAGAGGCAGAAAGATAAACAGACCAGGAGATGAATGGAAGGAGAATCTTAATAAGCCCTCTTTGCTTATTATGCTTCCTTCTCCAAAGCCAGTTCTTAAAGCAGAGAGGAAAATTCCCTAGCCTGACTTCCTGAGAAAGAGATAGCCATGTGGCCTAGAGAGATAGTCAGAGGACGCTAGAAAGAAGAGCTGCAGGTTTCAAGGGATTGAAACAGTATTGCAAGGGTGTCGAGGGGATACTAATTACCTGTCTCTGAGCACAGAACCCTAGGTGCAACTGGGAAGTGTCACACCAAGAATTAGCCAGAACAGAGCAGATGGCTATGCATTTGAAAGCTGATTTGAGCGGCAACAAGGGACAATATTTTTTTTATTGTTGTTTTAATCACTCCCTCTAGCCCTGCAACTCCCAGGGCTACCACTTCATTCTTAATTTCCCAAGCATACACACCCTCCTACTTGTGCAATGAAGAAACTATCATATTTGTCTGCTGTTTGTTTAATGAGCTGTACTTTCTTCTCATCAGTGTGATGATCAAAATATATCAATATGCATGAATGAGAAACACCATATCGAAATGCAATACATTATAAAATTAATAGGCACTAAGTAAAATACATTTTCAAAAAATCAAGCTGGACATGGTGACACATGCCTCTAATGCCAGCACTCAGGAGGCTAAGGCAAGAGGATCACTGAAAGTTCAAGGTCCGCCTGGGCTACAAAGTGAGTTCGAGGCCAGCCTGAACTGCACAATGAGACCCTGTTTCAAAAAGACCAAAAAAAAAGAAAAGAAAAAGAAACATTGGTGTGAGTTGTAAAGTGGAAAGCGCTCAGTAATATATTCTTCCCTTACTTTGTGGTGTACTCGATATGTGGCAAAAATTTATCAATATGCTCCCTACTTAAGACTCCCAAAAGGAGCCAGGGGGGATTTAGCTCAGTGGCTTATGTGCCTGCCTGGCAGTTGTGAAGTCATGATTTCAATCCCTGGTACCAAAAAAAAAGACACCCAAAAGGAGCTGAGTGTTGTGCATACTCCTAATCAAGTACTCGGGGAGGCTGAGGCACTTAAATCATGAGTTTAAGCCTCCCCTTTACAAGTTAGAGACTTAGGGGGGACTCTGATTTTTTAAAAAATCCCAACAAAAAGGACTCTGAAGTTACAGGCATTTCCTAGTCCTACATCATAATGGAGTTTAGAGCTTTCAAAAGGAACACATACCAGGGATGGGGTTAGGAGGACTTACGGGGACTGGCCATGTGAGTCTAGCTTGGTGGGTCGGGCAGATTTCCTAGAGGCCAGGGCAGCCACACGTCCCACGTCCCCCCGCTGCACTGCCTCCAGCAGCTTTTGATCATGACGGTTCCATCTCTCCACCTGGTCCAGAGCCACAGGTTATGGCGAACAGAGAGGATACAGATGGTGTGAAGAAAGCAAAGGAGGAGGTAATTAGATACCAAGCAAGGAGAAAAAGATGTGCTTATTTCACAGGGCACTAACCCCTGATCATTTGATCCTTGAGTAAGCCGGCTAACATTAACCAGTTCACATGCCACCGTCAACCAGGCATGGTGGCACACACCAGCATTTGGGAGGCTGAGTAGGAGGATCACCACAAGTCTGAGGCTAGCCTGGGCTACATAGTAAGAACCTGCCTCAAAAACAAAACAAAAAACCCACACATCTCACCATCAACTATTATTGGTTACTACCAGCCTTGGACCTAAAAGTGCCTGACACTGAATTAAAATTTAGGAGTGTTGAAGGTACAGTGTTTCTGGTGTATTTTATCATTATTATGCTTGTTTTTGTTAGAGCTCCAAACTCAGAACAACCATAGCAACAACTTCTTTTCCTTTTGTTCTGAAGCAAACTGAACCAACCTAAGCATTCCTGACTGGGCTCTCATTAACTACCTCCTCCCTTGTTGCTCTATTTTTTGTCCTTAGTAACTCAGGGCACCTAGATTCAAGTTACAGGTAGAAGTCCAAATACCCAACCATATTGCCTCTATCTATTGGCTTTCAGCTCTAAAACTGGGATGCGAATCCCAGTTTCTTTTTTCCTGTCTCATGTTTATCTATGCCCTTTAGCTAGTCTCTTTCCCTCCTCCATGGAAACAAGCACCAAAAAACAGATAGACCCCTGCCTATGTTTGAAGAGGTGGGAAGAGGAAGAAGCAGAAGAGGACTCCTCTCCTTCTTCCTCTCCTCCCTTCCAGGTTCCCTGGCAGAGAGCAGGTGTTCCGGACAATAGCTATACCTGGGCATACATTGTTCCATCGTTTTAGCTGGAGTCTTTCAGGGGAAGAAGCAATTACAATAATTGAAGTATTACAGGGCATGAAAGACAGTGCCATGGGAAAACACCCAAGATTTGAAAACCAAAAATAAAAACACCCAGGATTGAAGGTACAGAAAACCCGGTGGTCAGGGAGGGGAAAAGAAAAATGGATGAGTACAAATATCTTTAGGATCTCATCTTATTTTCTCAGCTGGACTAAGTTTGAGACCCGGGTTAGTAATCTCAGTTGTGTGACCTAGAGCAATCCATGGAACACATCTAACTTGTTTCCTCATCTCTAAAGTGTGAGTAAGAATAACTATCTCATCATGTTATGATTATTAAATAAATAAATGTCTATAAGATCTCTTTGTAAACTGTAAAATCGTAGAAATGTATGGCATCCTTATAACAATACAGGAAATAATGAAAAGTTGGTGACGGCACATTGTGTTTTATGAGGTATAATCTCAACAAGAAAGAGTCTACAGGAGGAGGTGAAGGAAAATGAGGTTTGTGGAAGCCCAATAATTCATGTTCAAATGTGTTTATAGAGCCAGGACAGATTATTGATAACAGGAAAGATTTAAATGTACCAAACGTAAAATTATCTAGAGTAGAGAGATGCTGAGGTTAAACTCCTGTACAACACTTGTAATTCCTCATGGTCTTTCGAGTACTGTTTCTATTAGACTCTCAATATCCCTGGAAAATAGTTAGGGCTGATACTATCCTTTTGATGGAAGAAGAAATGGAAGCACACTGAAGTTACATAACCATCCAGATCACATAAGAGTGGTAATATTGGGATTAGGATCCAGACCATCTGATGTCCAGTCCTAATTCTCACACCAGACCACACAACTACAAAGCTATGGAAAAATGTTTCCTTATTTCCAGATAATCAGTCTCAGACCACCTCTAGGCCAAAGCCACCCACCCTCAGATGTACTGCCTGCGTGGAGAAGTCTCCAAACAGGATAATTCTCAAAGGACAAAATAACCAAAAGACTCCTCTACATACTGATAGACTCTGACACCTAAGAACACACTTTCCACTGTCCCTTAGGAACCAAGTCTCCCATTGGAAAAGAACAAGCTGGAACTCTGCTTGCACCACACAGCAGTGCTATCAGTTGACCCATGCCTAAAGTTCTCTTTTAAAACCTTGATTCTAGCTGGGTATGTTGATGCATGCCTGTAATCTCAGCACTCTAGGAGGCTGAGGAAAGAGAATTGCAAGCTGGAGTCCAATCTGGGTAATTTAGTGAGATCCTGACTCAAAAAATGAAAAAGAGGTGGAGATACAGCTCAATGGGAGGCCCTGGGTTCAGTCTTCAAGTACTTCAAAAATTGTACAATAACAACAAAATCTTTATTCTAACACTTTCTGCCTTTATGAATACTAAGCATATAAAAACCTTCTCTGAACCTGTTTCCTAAAGATACAACAATATATAAAAGGTTTAGCTCTGTACCCAGTAACACAGTGGCTACATAACAAATCTTGGTTCCAACCTCCATCCTTTCAGTCTTTTCTGGGCACACTTTGGATATTCTTGGGCTCAAAATTCCCCAGCTATGAGTGGAAGGAAAAGATCCTGCTCGTATCGGTGAATGAGTAACAGGCTATTTAGATAGTAAAGGTGCTTCTTGGCAATGTGGATACTTTTTCTTAATGGTAGGTAGTTTAAAATCACCTAATTTACTTCCTATAATCTATCTGAAGAAGAGTTTAGGATAATGAATTTCTTGATGATAAAACCTCTGAACAACTGCAGGAAAAAGAACAAGGGGGATATTTTCAAATCCCAAGATCCACAGAGGCACACACATACTTTGCAAGCAGCAAGACCAAAAGGCAGAGGCCAGCCTGGATAATCTAGTGAGATCTCTTTCATTTTAAAGAAAAAAAAAAAATGGGCTGGGGACTTAGCTCAGAGGCATAAGCACCTGCCTTGCAAGCAGGCAGTCATGAGTTCAATCCCCTGTACCGGTAAAAAATAAATAGGCATGGTGGCACATACTCATCTCAGCACTTGAGAGGCTGAGGTAGGAGGATTGTTGGGAGTTTGAGATTAGCACGGGCTACAAAGTGAGTTCAAGACCAGCTCAAACTGCATAGCAAGACCTCGTCTCAAAAGACAATTTTTTAAAATAGGTAAATAAAAAGGGCTTGGGATGTAACTCAGTGGCAGAGCATCTGCCTACCTATATAGGTCTGGGTCCATTCTCTAATTAATAAAAAGTAAAAAATTTCAAAATCCAGCCTATTGACCACTTTAGCACCTTGGAAAGCAAGTATTGGATTACCATCACAACTCCATGGGAGTAATCACCAAATTAATCAGAAAACTCAAATAATAAGGGATAAAGTTTTGTTATGTCTAGGGCTGAGATTAGGGGGCCTTTGTAGAAGTAATTCTACCCTCTTCTATCTCTGTTACATATCTACAAGCAACCAACAAGTAGTGAAAGAGCATGGTGAATGCTGCAGAAGAGCCAAGTGGGAGTAGAAAGCCTACCCTGGAAGATCCAGAACCTGACTCTGAACATTTCAAATGCAGTCCCTCCACATATCTCTCTGTATTGATCCAGTACTGAGGGTCTCAAGCTATTTTTCTGATCTGTTTCTACTTCTGACCTACGTCTAATAAGCTCACATGTAAAACATTCTGAAAAGTATCTATGTTCTACTTGACTAAAAATAAAATTGGAGCTGGGGATGTAGCTCAGTGATATAGCAACTGCCTGGCAAGCACAAGGCCCTGGGTTCAATTCCCAGTACCAAAAAAAAAAATTGTAGAAGTTGGGTTATATTATATGCTTGCTGATAACCCTATATAATGAATAATAGAGACTGGTTGTGAAATGATCACTGGTCTTTCAGTCCTTACCTTAATCTGAGGATGCTGCAGTCTGGCCCCAGCCTTAAGGGTGTGAATGGGGACAGAGAGAGGCCATCTCCCAGAATGACTGGGAAGGGCCAGAAGACTGTCATATCATTTCCCTGAAAAATGGATTCAATGTGGTAGCTCTCCAAAGTAGTGGGGAAAACTATCATGCCAAGAATAGGCAAATTTCAGGAGGCAACAACTTACAGCTAAAACTGACTTATTTCTAAACTTTCTGCAACCCTAGTCTAATTCAGAAAAAAGTTTTCTTTCTACTAGATAATTCTAAGTCTACTCAATTTTTCTTTTAATCCCATTGTACTAAGATCTTGTTATACCAAGAAGAGTTTAGAATGGGTAGACATTCGTGATGACCAAACCCTAGGAGAGAAAATCAAGAAAGATGGGGTTGATGGCAAATCCTAGGATCCAGCCACTATAGTGTTCATTCAAACACCTTCAAAATGAGGCACTGCCCAACGATGAGAGAATCAAGAAGAATGAAGTAGTTCCCCATTCCTAAAGAAGGTGGCAGACTCCACAAACCAGAAAGGAAGGGTAATGCTGAGGGTTTTCAGTGTCTAGGGCAAGAGTTCATATGAATAAAAAATCATTCTGATTAAGAGAGGGTCTGGCTAGCCTTTGTTTCTTAGTAAATGTGTTTCAAGTAGTGGATCAGTGTGTGGAGAAACTAGAAGAAATATAAATGGGACAGGGACAGGCCTCAACAGAGTTCCTACGCTTGCTTCATAGCTTTCTTCCAGGTTTCTGTGGCCTGCCCATGCAGGGTGAACTGAAAATGCTCATATTCAATTATAAATGACATCACTAAGCTGAGTTACTTAAACAATATTACTACATACATCTGGTTAATTCATTTCTAAATGATCCATAATCCACATCTCCATAGAAAATTCCATCCCCAGATAGGGTGTCTTTCAGTAAGAAATTTTTAGACAAGGAGACACTCTATACCCTCCCTGCACCACCACCTTCTGTAACTTCTGTGATTTTTCTTATGTTTTCTTTTTTCTTTATGTTTTCTTCTGGGGAAAAAAGTAATACTTCTGCAGGGAACTCTCATGGTAAGTCCACTCCATCCTTCTCTCATTTCACCATCACTTTTCTAAAACCCAATCAAAGGAAACAGAATACATGTCCTAAACAACTGGTCAAGGGTTAGGGTAAAAGAAAACACTGGAGAGAAACAGGCACAATGTCCTGACTGGTCCAAGACCATATGATGACCAGACACTGCAGTGAACTGGCAGGGCGGATTCCGCAGGCAACTCACCCGATCCCTTGGCAGGCAACCACGCGTCCTCTGGCAGTGCTTGTCAGGCTGGCTAGACTGCAAGATTAACCCACAGTAAGCAGACGCAAGGAGGCCCAGCAAAAGGAAGCAAAGTGGGATTGGGTGGTCAAAGTGGGGCAGAGATTGAAGAGAACACAAGGATGCGGCTGAGGGGGCACTGAGTGGAAAGAGGCTTGGAGCGATGCTTGAAGTTCAATGGTGCCGCTGAGGAGTGGTAGTGGCGCGGGCTGAGATGGAGACAAGGGCAGAGGGAGCTATGTATAAAGTTGAGGGGGCACAGAACTGAGATTACTGTTAGGATGACAGGAAACAGTAAGGATGGGGCCACGGGAGGGCTAGATTAGAGCACAGGACAGGGTTGAGAAATGTAGCTTGGGGCAGGAATTTGGGGGAGGGGTAGAATGGAGCCAAGAGGTGGGCAGGCAGATGCTTGTAGGTGGTTCGGTTTGGGAAGATACAGTAATGGAGAAAAGGACTTGGGAAGGGCACAGGGCTGCCGGAAACACCAGAAGTAAGGAGTGCAGGGCCGAAAGCAAAGATCTCAGAGAGGGTAGATGTTAGGAAGGCAGGCAAATCAAGCTGGGGGACAGGGTACGGATGACGCCGCCAAGTTAAGTTAGCAGGGCTGGCAGCTGCACTGCGGGAGCGGAAGCTCTAAAAAGACCGGTGAAGAGATGAGGCGCTGGTGCCTAGATGGGGACTTACGGCTCTGTCAACATAGGGCTTGCACCCCCAGCCCCATTCTCCCACATTTTTGGCACCTACCGCCACTTGTGAACTGGAGCAGGAGAAGAAGCGCTTCATGGCCGGGGCCGGGGCCGGGGCCGGGGCCAGGGGGGGCACGGGGACGTGCGGAGAGAGCCAGGCTACAAGTTCCTAAACCCACCGAACTCAGCTGCGGCGGTGCGAGAAACAGCTGTCAAAAGCCAGACGGCCCCGCCCCGGGCCCGCCCCCGCTCCCGCTCCCGCCCCGCTCAGTCAGAGGCGGGAACCCGGGAACCGGTCGAGCGCCCCCTGCAGAGGCGAAAACCCCGCAATCCAGCTGCGACGCGGGCTCGGCCTCAAGTCCGGCTATCCGGATCTGAGCCCACCCCAACTCTGCACCTACCCGCCCCGACCTCCTCCAACCGAGAAGGAACCCGGGAAGCAACAGCAGTAACGTCTCGCTGGCCCCGCCTCTGCCGCTCCGGAGGTGACTCCGCCTCCGAGCTCGCCCCGGCCACGCCCCCTAACTGCGCTGCGGGATGCGGGGCGGACCAGGCTGGCAGCTCCGAGGGCGTCGGGCTTCACAGCTGCTTTACCCGGGGATGACGATTCTTTATTATAACCCAGACATTCAGCCAGTTACCTCGGCCTCTTCTCCCCACCTCCAGCCTTTCGCCAAAAACCCAAGCACAAGAGGATTTAAAGAGAACAGTTTGCAAATACGAGGAGAGTGTATCGCTAAGCAAGGAACTGAGCAGGAAAGACCCGCTGCCACATGGGGACAAAACCCGAGGGAAAGGGGATTTGGGTCAATGTCTTAAGGAAACCTGGAATTAGAAAAGGAAAAGAAAACCGGGCATAGTGGCGCACGCCTGAAATCGCAGCACTCAGGAGGCTGAGGCAGGAGGATCATTGTGAGTTTGAGACCAGCCTGGGCTACAAAGTGAGCTCAAGGCCAGCCTAAACTGCATAGCGAGACCCTGTCTCAAAAAAACAAAAAAGAAGAAGAGAAGGAGGAGGAGGAAGGAGAAGAAGGAAGAAGGGATAGGGAAAAGGAAGGAGAAGGAGAAAGAAAGAGAAGGAAAGGGAGAAGGAGAAGAGCTGGGCAGTGTGTCGCGCATGACTGTAATCCTAGCACTCAGGAGGCTGAGGTAGGCCACGAATTTGAGGCCAGCCTGGGCTACATAGAGAGTTCAAAGCCAGCCTGAACTATATTGAGAATCTGTCTCAAAAAGAAAAGAGGGCGGCGGTGGGGGGGAATATAGCTCAGCGGCACAAGTGCCTCCATAACAAGCACAAGTTAAATCTGTCTCAGGACAAATAGAAGTGGTATGGCCTAGATTTAAACCCACATCTGTCTTCTTTCCTAACCATAGTAGTTACTGTTATCTGTGCCTCTGGGATATTATGATTTGCTCAAGACCATATAGGTAATAATCAGCAGACCTGAGATTTCAACTTAGGCCTTTGTGCTCCTCAAAACTACAGTTTACACTCTATGATCACTTAAGGGGGTAAGACTTGCAGGAGGTCAGAGCACATCTGTGGTGGGAGAGTCTGAGCAAATATTCAAAATACTTCATAACTTTGCCTTTCAGTGACTCCATTAGGTAATGTCTCAGGCAAACTAAGAATTTACCTCTTACTAGTGCTGAGCATGCTATACCCTCAGGAACTCAAAGACGGCCAGAAGTATTTGAACTGACCTTTATTTGTTCTGACCACCTGATATATTGTTCACAGTGCTGGGAAACAGAGACAATGCCCAAGAGGTTGGCCCTCTTCAGAAGGCCACAGACATGCCAAAGTAAACACTGTGGCTAGCCCTTTAAGAACAGCCTGGGAGGACAAGTTCTGTGGCTGCTAGTGAACTGTCCAATCAGGCGTTTCCTTTTTCTCAGGTAGAAATGGGTGCTGATCTTTAAATGGTTATCAAAGCTGCACTCTGGAAAATGGTAACTGACTTTGGCATCCAAAATCTTGATCACAAAAACACATAAGTTTTGAGATGTCTATGAGAATCCACTTGTCTTTACTAGCCACAACCATACTATGGGATGAGGACAGGGTATGTTAGAGACAGAAATTACCATGGTGATTTCCAGTAAATACCAAGTAAGGGTTACCGAACTGATTCTGACAGAGACATCCTACAAAATATGACCAAAGTTGCCACAGAAATGTTTTCCTAGGAGTTATTTGTGCTATAAAACAAATGCTGGGAAGTAGAGTCTTGCTCTCCAGGAACTTCATGCTGCCCACTTTCGCTTTTCAATGCAGTCCCACTTGTTTGGATTGCATGGGGCTGCTGCTTCCCAAAGCTGGAAAGATGGAAGGGTTTTCCACCCTAACACAGAATCCTTTTCCTTCCCTCTGCCTTCCAAAGGCAGTCCCACTGAGGCTTGAAGAGAACCATCTGAGAAAAGCAGAGGAAACACTGCCTAGGGTATGCAGTCTCCTCTGCTATTCCAGTCTTAGCCACCCGGGGGCCCCTGTCTCCAGAAAAGCAGACGTGCAGCCCTAGTTTTGCTGCTAGGGAAGGCTGAGGGTGGGGAAATTCTCACCCAGCAAGCCTGGGGCCGCTCTGTTTCCCTAGCACCTGAGGAGGCGAGTGCGCCACCAAGTCTCGTCTCAGGTTTCAGAGGGGATGGCAGTTGCTTGTCTAAAGGCTCCTCTGTTCCTTGGAATTGTACAGAATGTCTCTTGTGGCTTTTCCTCCTCCCTCCTTTTTTCCTGTTGACTCTATCCATCCAGCTCTATGAATCACTCAGCTCCACAGGAAAGCAGCAGATGTTGACTTTACTTCTTCCAAGCCAACATCAGCTCCCTCCTGTGGAGTGGGGAGCAGGCTGGGAGGTGACAGAGTTGGTACTGAATGGAGGCAGATAATCTTCATCATTTGCAAATGGTGAAGAAAGACAGCAAGGGACTCTGAAGAGTCAGGGACCTAAGCAAACATTCTTTTGATTCCTGGGTATAGGGAAAGCAGGGATCCCCAAACACAGACCCCATGTTGACTGTGGAATCAGCATCGTGTACAGGGTGAGCGTTCCTGATTTTGGTGCCAGCCCTTCTTGTCTGAGGCAAAGCCTCATCTCTTGCCAGCAGCATCCCCATGACTCAAAAGTCAAGTCAGGCTGTGAGTCCGAGAAGACAGTCCAGAGGCTTCTTCTCAATCCCACCGGGCCCTTGAGCCTCCACTCTGACACAAGTCTCTTGAAGAAGCTGCCAGAGAGACCTTTCTAGAGCCTTATTCTGCATTCATTCCTCCAACTTCTCTTTTTTCTTCCTCAGGGATTTTCTTACGGGTAAAGAAGCCAAGCTATAGAGGGAGAGATAAGAGTCACTGCCAAATGCCCAGACTGGGGACCTTGCCAATAGCCCTCAGACTTATCTGTGGTCTTCACTTTTATTCTGATTCCAAAATAGGACTTGAATTTATTTTATTTGGCTTAGTTTAATTCAACTAGCACTTGTGGAATACAGGAGGAGATCTGGGCATGACACCCTCAGCCTGCTTAGCCACCAGGCATGAGGTATGCTCCCCTTGCTATAATCAAGGATCCCTTGGACTGGGGATGTAGCTCCATGGCAGACCCTTTGACAGCATGTGTGAGGTCCTGAGTTTGATATTCAGCACTGCCTTTCCCCGAAAAAGAAAGGAAATTCTGAATAGTAGACACAGTGTTCCCTGCTTCCACTAAAGTAGGGCTTACCTTCCACAAGCAGAAAACAAGAAGAGCAAGCAGGAGCAGCCCCCCAAGGATACTCCCAATGAGGATCCACAGGGAGATGGGGATAGGGTGAGTCTGAATCACCTCCAGGAGACTCTGTGGGGAGAAGAGTTGCTTTTTCACACTGCTTTTTAACCTAGTTAGCTTCACTCACGTTATAGCAAAGCCAGCCTCCAAACAGAATAAAGACCTTCTTTCTATTCAATGGCAACTGGAGGAGGAATGGAGACAGTGGAACTCTAGCATGTTCATATGACACTTCTGACTCACCAACTGCTGCCTAATAGAGAAGCATTTGTTTTGGAAAAAAGTTCACAAGTGCCCTTAGTCCCCTCCCATGACATTATTTTCACAGCTCTCACACTTAGCCGCCAGCCCTACCTCACTCCAGCGAGTGGCTTCAGTCAGCTGTAGGACACTATTTTCCTCAGTTCCCAGCTCAAAGGTGCTGACCACCGTCAGAGACTTAAACTTAGCCTGTGGAACAAATGGATAGAAAGATATTTAAAATAAGCCACCATCAGATGGTTTCTGTTTGTTGGTTTTTGTTTTTGTTTTTTGGATTTTTTTTTTTTGTCTTGGAACCCAAGAACAAAGTTCAGGCTAAGTGGCAAAACTTCCAGGATTTTCAAGATCAGAAGAAAACGCTGAAGACTACTGGTAGAAAATGGGTAATAGATGGAAAATATTTGGTCTTTCAAATACACTGTCTGGCCAGACACAGAGCTCAGCCTGCCTGGCAAGCACAAGGTCCTGAGTTCAATTCCTAGTACAAAAAAAAAAAAAATCAAATACACTGTTTACCTAATTACATTCCACTCTCCTTTTCTTTGACTAACCTCTATTTTTCTTTTTTCTTTCCCTGCAGTATCCAGGAAGTGCTTTATATCGCCAGACCTTTTTTCTTTGAGACAGAGGTTTGGTAAATTAAACTAGACTAGCCTCCAATTTGGTAATCCCTTGCCACAGCCTCCTAAGTAGCAGGAATTAGAGGCAGATGCCTCCACGCCTGGCTTCCATCCCTCTTTAGATGACGTTTACTCCTCTGGTAATTAGGAAAGTGTTTCCTACTAACTCCAACCAATTCTGGTGCTATTGTTTAGTTATGGTTTGAGTGTTCTCCAAGCCTTCAAGTACTGAAATCTCATCTCCATTGTGAGATATTAAGAGGATAGAAATTCTATCCAAGTATAGTGTTTAGGTGGGGCTTTGGGAAGTGATTAGGATCAGATAAAACCATTAGGGTAGAGACCCATGATTGAGCCCTAGTCACTTTTTAGGAGAAAGAAAGGGACCAGACATACATACAATGCAGCCAAGAATGTCCTTACCAGAGCTGAGCTTATCCCAGTACTCTATCTTTGAGCCTAATACGTCTTGTGTTCTCTGTCTTTCGCTACTCAATTATAAGAACTTAAAATTTAAGGTCTAACTTTTGTGTCCTCAGTGCCTGGCACAGTGCCAAATCTGTAGTGGTTTCTTAATAAATCTTTGTTAAAAGAATAAATGAATGAAAAAAGTACAAAAGAAAAATATAAAGAGAACCAGACTTAGAAAAGGGTAGTTTGTCAGACTTAAGTTTCTCCAAAACATGCCTACATTCCAAGGATCTTGTGTTATTCAAAGTATATGGAAATGTACAAAACAGTTAAATAACTGTTTATAATGAAGATGTCATTTCCCTGCTCAGGAACTCATACTGACTTCTGAATACTTCTCATATTAAGTTCAGTTTTATCCCCCTAGATCAGAGATGTTTCACAATCTAGATTCCTCTCAACTATTCAATCTTACGCCTCCCTCCCTATTCTCCAATAAGTATTCTTCATGTAGTATTAATTAATTTATTTAACAAAATGCATTAAGCACCTACAGTGGGGGGCTTAGTGTTGGGGAAATTCTCCTCAGTGTTGACTTAATACAGCAACTTTTATATAAGAGGCACTGGTTAAATTTAAGTATCCTATTAATGAAAATTGACATTATAGAACCAAGCAACAACAGAAGAAAATAATACAGGGATAGTTACTAGGTTTTACTGACTGTTCACCATATGTCCAACTCATTATTCATTTATTCTTTACAACTCTATGAAATAGATACCTTTTTAGTTTTAAAGGTCAGGAAAAACCTCAGAGCAATACAATAACTTGCTCATGGTCAGATAACCGGTAAAAGGCAAAACTGAAACTTCAAAATAGGTCTGTTTACCTCTAAAACCTGTTAATGTTCCAAGAATGAAAAGAGACTAGCCAAAAAGGAAAAATTTACCCGTCGGAAAAATTCATTGTGAACTACCCTCAGTAGTCCAATAGAGACCTCAGCTCCCTTTGCCAGCGTCCCAAGGTGGCACCTCACGACTTGACACTGAGTGTTGCTCCCATTCTATCAGAAGAGAGAGACAGATCAGAACCCCAGAACAGAAAGATCCTCTTTCCACCTCTACCCCCTCACACCGTCAGAAGGCATGCAAATCTGCTCACAGCCCTCCTCTGCGCACTCTCAGGATTCATACCAATCTGTCTGTGTGCTGAAGCTCCTCTGGATGCACAGGAAGCAGTGGGGGCACAGTCAGGTTCTGCACTTTGCAGCTTGCCTAGAGGAATATTCGACTTGAAAGATCCTCCTGGCTGGTGGGGGAATCTGAAAGCTGAGAAGAAATGTACTCCCCACACCGGAATTGGTCCTACGTATAATCCCTTTCTTTCCTCCCAAAGAATCCATACACATAAAAAAAAGGTCCTCTGAGAAGAAGAGCTCTGAGTAGTAGGGCGCTTCAGTGAGTCTGCCAGGCCAAATGGCAGGGTTCCACCACTCCTACTCAGACTCACATTGTTGGTGATGACTTGGGAGACTGACAGGAAGTAACTGCCCCCATGAGCTACGGCTGGAAGGAGGGCTGAGACGACGAGGCCATGGACCACATAACAGCCAAGGTTCTGAACCTGAAAGGATTGGAAATAGAAAGAGGTGGGAAACAGAAGACCCTTTCCCATCTGTCCCCCTTCACACTAGACATTACTGAAATCTAAGACAGACCATCCCATCCTTTTCCCACACAGCTGTGGCTTGTCCCCAACCCACCCTCTCTGTCATGCCAAGATCTCTCCAGCTTCTTACCCTAAGAGTGGTTTTGAATTCAGGACCAGGACCCAGTGAGAGGATTCTATAAGGGTGAACTTCGTAGCGGTGCAGGGTGGACTCACTGTGTAGACACCAAGTCAGGAGATACAATATCATATCCACGGCCCAGACACAGGAGTACATGATCAACAATATAGCATATAGATCAAGGAAATTAGGACCAACATACGGACAAAGAGAGAAGGGTATATGGAGGAAAAAAAATGGAACAAAATATAGAGAATATCTTTTTTTTTTTGGTCTTTTTCGTTTTTATCGGTACCAGGGATCGAACTCATGATTGCCTGCTTGCAAAGCAGGCGCTTATGTCACTGAGCTAAATCCCCAACCCCAACAATATAATCTTTAGGGCCACATCCTGTATCCCCATATCCAATGCTCAGTGCCTGATAAAGCCCTACCTAGGAAAGGAAAGGGCTTTTTTTTTTTTTTTTTTTTTTTTTTTTGGTACTGGGAATTGAACTCAACCCTGTGCTTGCTAGGCAGGTGCTTATGCCATTGAGCTAAATCCCCAGCCCTGAAAGGAAAATGTCTAAAAGAGAAAGTTCATCATGAGTGGGAATAAGGGCAATAAGACTAAGCAACCTCAGATTTTATGTTTCTGAGAATAACGAAGCACATGGAAAGAGGGAAAAAACAAAGAATTATGAATATGGAATCAGAACTGGGTCCTAGTCAGGAGCTGGGCCATACCTAGAGAACAGGAGGTGAGGCTCATATCGGATGTATGCAGATATCTGGGCTGTATTATCTTGAAGGGTCCTATTCCTCTCCAGGCTACTGCTGCAGAGTCAGTGGGGGAAAGCTCACATTGAAATTCCTCCTCAAATACCTTTTTCTGCTAATAGAGGAGTCAGTGCTGTTCCTCCCCCTAATCCCCCAGGCAAGACTCAACAAGAAAGGGCTTGGAGGAAGTTTCCTTTATTCTCACCTACTGGCAGTCAGCCTCATGAAGACTTGCCTCAGGAGGGAGGTGCAGCTAAACTCAAACTCTAGCAGAAAGGTCACCTGGGGGCAGGGGACACGTGGGAATGGTAGATTCTTCCTTGTAGAACAACTACAGAGGAATAAGAGCCTTTGTGTGCCTCCTTCCCTGTGCTGGACCCCACAGATTCTAGCCCCTGGTCTCCCAGAGTCCTTTTCTCCCTCTGGGCCCCAACTCACCTTAGCACCAGTCTGGAAGACAGGGTGCCCCACACTGCAGAGCCGGGCATGAGGTATAGGGGCTGCACATTCCACCTTTATGGGGCTGTCTCTCTGAGGATAGAGGAATGAGTGTGGAGGCTGGAGCTGGAGCTGCAACTGCTCTCCTACCCACAGCTTCTAAACACTGAGGCTCTCTGCAGAACATCTCACAGCCAGGGCCAATACCCCGATCTTCCTCTTCCTTTCCCTCCTCCTCCCAACCCCAGCCTTTATGGGCACCTGAGGAATGAGACTGGCCAGATGGAGATTTTTAGAGAAGGTGAGACTCAGGCTAGTGTTGTAGGCATTTTCCTTTCTGTTCTCCAGAGTTGCTGATACCAGTACTTTTTGCCGCCCACCTTGAACCACAAATGGGGCCTTCCTGAGAATGATGAGTACGGGAGAGACCAGGAGTTAACAGAGCATCAAAAGTCTTACTTCTGTTACCCTGGGTAAGAAATCCCTCCCCACTGGCAAGGTCAAGTCACCCCGGTTTTCCTAGTTCATATCCATCCAACCTGGAGCCTCTGATGTCCATTTTGGCTTGAAGCACCAAGTCTGTGACACATTCATTGTCAGGGCCACAATCTTTTGAGAAGGGCACCTGAAAAAGAGAGAAAGGCCTGAGGGCTAAGAAGAAAGCAAAAAGAAACTGTTGTTATTTAACACAAGTGAAAAAAGAAGAGTGGATGTACTTTGCTACTGCTTCTTCTTCTTCTTCCTCTTCTTTTTTTTTTTTTTTTTTTTTTTTTTTTTTTTGAGATAAAGTTTCACTATGTAGTCCAGGCTGGCCTTGGACTCTCTGTGTAGCCCAGACTGGCCTGAACTCACAGGAATCCCCTGCCTCAACTTCCCATGTGCTGGGATTATAGGCATGTACCACTATGCCTAGCTCAAGTGGAGCTGCTTTGATTAGAGGAACCTAGGTCAGATTTCAGTGTGATCTCACATCTCCCCTTCCCTTCTCTTGAATGCACTGGGAGAGTAGCATTGGGACACAGGGCTAGAGTAGGGCTGGCCACTGCTAACCAACTTTTGTAGAAAGGTAGGTGAGCCTTCATCCAGCACAGGCCCTGGCTTTGTTGTGTTGTCCAAGGTAAAGGCCACAGTCAAGACCACTGGCCGGAGGTAATCTGATGTATCCTGAGGGAAAACAGAGTCAAGGACCAGAGGGAATCAAAGTTAGAGATGCAATCCAGGTGTAGGAAAGAATAAGATAACTACGGTGATCATTTCTGGAGGACTTCCTGTGTGCTGGGCATTGGCTAAGATTTTATCAATACTATTAAATTTAATTAAAATACAAATCCTATGATATAGTTATTATCATCTCTTTGTGGACAAGGAAACAAATTTGGAGACTGGGTAGCTTGCCAGAGTTCATGGTAGTAAATGCCAGAGCTAGTATTCAAATCTTGATCGGACTGACCTCAAAGTCTGAATTGTCTCATTTTCCCTGTTTTGACTTCCTTGCTGGTCTAGTTAGAATTCATTCTCTGACCCAGCCTTCTCCTCCTTCACAGTCCTCAGGGGAAAGTAGCTCCTGCCTCTTCCTCACCAGCACATAGAAGTACAGCTGCTCACACGTGACATTTCCCACGCTGAGCTGGAGACGCATAGGAGGAAGCCTCTGGCCAGAGCCATCAAATGCTGCACGTACCCCAGCTGTCCACTCATCCAGTGATGCTGTCACCCACATATCTGAAGGGGAGGCAAGAATGAGGGTGTAGAGGGCTCCAGAGATCAAGGCAGGCAATGAGTCCAGGGTTGCCTAGGGGATATACTCTAGTTTTTTATTTTGTTTTTGGTACCAGGGATTGAACTCATGACTGCGCGCTTGCAAGGTAGGTGCTTATGTCATTAAGCTAAATCACCGGCCCCAGGAATATACTCTAGTCACTCACTGAACTGGCGGTCCCAGTGGCCAGGAGTCCGGGAGGTCACATGGAAGCAGAGGGCAGCAGTCAAGCAGACTGCCTCCTGCCTGCGCCGTCTACAGTCCCTCTGAACCACACTGATGGCTGGTGGGGTAATATCCAGTGATGGGGCCACATGGACAATCGGCTGGGAGCTGGGAATGGCAGGAAAGAAATGAGAAATGAGTGAAAGGTAAGTTCTTTGAGAAATGCACTTCCCATGTCTGCCTCTCTATGATCAAAGCAAAGAACAAGAGACTGAATGCACATAAGTTTCCCTTTTGTGAACTCTTAACAGAAGTCAGTTAATAGGTTCAGTTCACTAAGTATCAACCATATTACAATCCTTACATGGATTATCTCTCTTGATCCTTACAATTAAAGCTATAGGCAGTACTACACTATTCTTTTCTTTTTAGGTGTCTTGTTTTGTTTTAGTTTTCTGAGACAAAGTCTTGCTATGTAGTCCAGGCTAAACCTCTCTATGTGGTCCAGGCTGGCCTCAAACTTGTGGCAGTGCTGCCTCAGCCTCCTGAGTACTGAGATTACAGGTGTGCACCACCATGCCTGGCAGGTACTAATACTATTTTCATTCTATAAATTGGGATAAGCTAACTTAGAAACCCAAATCTAGGGGCCAGGGATTTAGCTCAGTGGCATAAGCACCTGCTTGGCAAGCACGAGGTCGTGAGTTCAATCCCAGGTTACCCCCAATACCCCGCCGCTGCCGCCAAAAATACAAAGAAACCCAAATCTTAACTCCAGAGCCCTTATGACTGCAAAGCTCTTGCTCTTAACAGCTTTGCTGTGTTCCCCACTGCTCCCCACTCCATGAAGTGGAGCCTCTTCACCTTAGCAGGATGGCTGCCCCCTGGGCACCCACAGCCACATCCACCAGATCATCTCCATCCAGATCTAGCCGGCCATCTACACTTCGACCAAAGTAACTGAGGGACTGTGGCATGGAGACAGCTGCAATCCGCTGGGAGTAAAAGAGAGGAGATGCGGGCAGAGATTCACACAGATTGGTTTCTCATTCCTCCTGCCCTATTAGGCAAGGAAGCACAAGAAACTTGTCTGTAGTCAGGAGTCCCTAGTCCGGTAAACTGTATCCCACCATCTCATTTTTTTGCCTGCTGGTCAAAGCACTTATTCCATTTGGTTCTCAAGTCAAGAGGATAATAGATAAGCAAACAGCACACCTCTCCTTCCTTTCACTGTGCCTCTGCATTATCTGGGCACTCCTGACCTGGGCAGGATGTGGCATGACTCCACTCTGGGTTCCATGATACAGGTACAGTGCTCCCTGGTGTCCATCCTCCAGTGGAGCCCCCACAGCCACATCAGCAAAACCATCTTGATTTAGATCAGGAAGAGCACCCATGGCAAAGCCAAACCGAGCATCCTGTGGGGGTTCTGGCTGAAGTGTTCCTTGTAGCATCAGCAAAGACTGCTGGTACAGATAAGAAGACAGAAGATATTTATTTGGTAGTCCCAATCTCTCAGCAAGCCCTTCAATATGTTCCTCCCCTCTATTCCACATTTCCCCCAAATCCTAGCAGGTCCTAGCAAGTCTTACCTGGCCTACCCGATATACATAAACACGTCCTGTCTCCTTGTTCTGGGGACCCAGGAACATGGGAGCAGCCACAAGTAAGACATCAGTTGTTCCATCACGATCTGTATCCAATGGGCAGAGCTCACTGCCAAAGTATGAGCCGATCTGGGGAGTGGTAGGCAGCAGTGACCCAGAGAAAAGAGAAGGTGATTGTGAACCAGTAGACTTGGTAAGAGGCACTTACCAGCCCACCAACCCGATCCTTATATCCCTGAGAGACTCTGCCAAAATTCAGCACTGGGGTTTCATGCCTCCCTCTCCCCTTTTCCCACTCACACCCCTCAGGCTGAAGGACCCTGGATACTTAATGGTCCCATTTACCCTTAACGCCCTACCTGCTCCCCCTGAAGGCTGTGGGCAACTCTCACAGTCCCATCTTTCTTAAACTGGAAGGCGATGACTTTTCCTCGATGTCTAAACCTAGGAGCCCCAGAGAGAAAGAGGCGACGTCCTCTTGGCAAAAGCATGGAGGAAACAGAGTAACCTATAAGTGTGTAAAAGGGAAGGAAAATGGATTCAGAAAGGAAAAGCTCCCTAAAGACACAGAAGGAAATCCCAGGACAAATAACAAAAATTATATGAAGAATTTAGAAAGAATTCGGCATCTTCCTGGCAAGTGTGAGGTGGTAAGTTTGATTCCAATACCAGAAAGTGCTTCCTCTTCCTACATTTCCAGTCCTTAGCAGCTCCTTGCTACTCACCCAGGTAGGCTGCATGATTCTGTAGTGCAGGGGGGAACTCATCTTCCAGAGCTGTTCGTTGGGGGAAAAGGTGATGCCCTTCTTCAAGCCATAGCACTGAGCCCCCCCAGTCATAGGCCCCCACCATCCCAAAGAGAATTCCATCCTGTGGGGCAGAACCAGATGGGTCACTGAGAAGACAGAGGGGACAAAGAGAAAACATTCTAGGAATGGGAGGATCCCTGAGGGGACACCATAATCAGCTAGGGGAAGAGTGGAAGATTAGCATGGAGGTTGGTTAAAGGAAGAATCTGGAAGGCCCCTGGGATTTAAGTTGGAGAGAGGCATAAAGGGGTCAGAAGCTAGATGTCAGGAGGGGGCGGAGTCTGTCCAACCTTTAGCCGATGTGTAGAAAAACCAATCTGAGACATTTCTAGCCCAAAAGAGCTTTCATTTTCTCCATGGGACCCTTGGGTATGAGAAAATATTAAGGTAATATCAAGGAAAAACAGTTCCTACTTTAAGCAATTAATCGCCCTCTAGAACGCTACTTATACTCCAGCATTCCTCTTACCCTCTGCCTCCTTTCTCCATGGTTAGCATTTACCTTCAAGGCCAAAAATCCGGTCTCCTAGTGCATCAACAATATCAGTCAGTGCAGCCTCATCTGTGACATTGAAAAAGAATCGCTCATCTGGATCACTGGCAATTTCTCTAATTTCTCGAAGGAAAGAACTAGGGTCTCGATGCCGACGAAGGTAGTGACCAAGAACCTGAGATCAGGAGACCAAGATGGATGGAGTAAGATGTTAGAGTTGATATACACCATAGCCAAACCCAGCAAAGGAAGGTGAATATGGCTTAAGTCCAGAAAGTAGTAGTGCCCTGATTTTAAATTCTTGGTCCTCAAGGTCTTCCCTTACCAATACTTCTAGATCTAGAGTCAATTCTCACCGCAATCCCATAACGAGTCACTTTTCCAGCTTCACAGGCCTTTAGTGCTGCTGGAAGATCCTCTCCGTCATGTGATTCTCCATCAGTGACCACAACCAGTAATCTGGCAGCCTCTGGTCGCCCACCCCGGGACTGACTGAACCCTTCTGTGCTGATAAGAGAAAAGAATGAAGTATAATCAGATATAAACACACACACACACACACACACACACACACACACACACACACGATTTAGCACTGTCAATTCTTTGCAGTCAAGGATCTTGACTTTTAGGCCATTTCCCAATAATATCTAACATGGAATCTGGCATAGAGTAAGAGCTCAGATGACTGAATGCCATACAGTGCACAGAGTAGCATATAATTAGTGCAATTAAATACTAAATACATCTGTTCATAGATTCATTCAACAAATGTTGTGTTTGGAAATAAACACTAAGGGAATATAGAATTTAAAGGCAAATGATCATGTCAAGTCCAAGATGATGTGAATCATGCTTGGAAAAAGAGCTAGGACATGAGTGATGGAGAATCTAAGGACTAGGATCAAAGTTGGGGCAGAAGCGTAGAGAGACAGAATTCTGTCTACAGAGATAAAGCAAAGACATAAAAAGACACATACACACTTTATAGAAAAGCAGTGAAAGGGAGCACAGTGACAGCCAAGTTAGCCTTCTTCCATGCACAATTGGGGTGTAAATAAAGATAAGGATGCAAGCCAGGCATGATAGCACATGCTTATAATCCCAGCATGCAGGAGGCTGATGCAGGAAGATCATTGGGAGTTTGAGGCCAGCCTGGGCTACACAATGAGTTCAAAGCCAGCCTGCACTAAAAAGTAAGGCTGGGCCAGGGATTTAGCTCAGTGATGACGAGTTCAAACCCCAATACCAATAAAAATAACTAAATACATAAATAGCAAGGCCTTGTCTAAAAGAAATCAAATTAATATATACATAAAGATAATGACACAAAACATCTTGGGATGTTCATACCACACCCCAGAGCCTCCCCTGAGCCTCCCCATCCTTCATCACTCTGGTCTTCCATATCCTTTCACAGTGCCTCACCAAGCCACCAGTATTGCTTGGGCAGTCTTTGTCTCTCGTCCCTCCTGCCGACTGAGGTTTCTTGCTGCTCTCACTACTTCTTCTTTAGTTCGAAAGTCTCCCAGAGACCACTCATGTACAGGACTCTCCCCATATTGCACCAGTCCCACCTAAGAGTAAATTGTGCACCAAATGAAAGAAGTAGGGAGAGGAAGTACGAGAAAGGATGTGAGAAAGGAGAGATAAACACTTGGATTAGATACTGCAAAAGACACCACCCACATTTACCCCTTCACCTCCAAACCTACCCACAACGCTTTATCTTACCTGTATCTGCTCTGGATCAATAAACAATCTCCCTACCAGCCTCCGTAGGAAAGTCTGAACTTCAGACCAGGGGTAAATGCTGTTGGAGCCATCCAACACAATGACAACATCCATGTATGTGGGGCAGCCTAGTGGGAGGGATATGGTAATGGGAAAGAAAGAAGAAGAAAGGTATTAGGCGAGGGTCAACAAAGGAAGAGACCACAGGAAGGCACATTCAATTCAAACTTTTAAAATCTCTTTTTCTCGCAAGGAAAATTCTGTGCCAGGCCCTGGAAAAGTACAGAAACCAAAAAGGAAACAGGCATATATGCAATTTATGAAAAACAAAAAAGGAAATAAATGCTAGACTTAAATACTGCACTATTCGGGGCTGTAGAAGAATGAAAGATGGTCCTCTTTTTTTTTTTTTTTTTTTTTTTTTTTTTTCCATTGCTGGGGTTTGAACTCAGGGCTTTGTTTATGCTAGGTACATGCTTTATTACTGGGCTATACACACAGCCTTAGAGGGTCTATTTTGAGAGTAGAACATAAAATGAGTTAAAAAAAAAAAAAAGAAGAAGGTATTGAAGGGCTAGGGTTATGGTTCAGTGGTAGAGTCCTTGCTTGGCATGTGAAAAACCCTGGATTTAGTTCCTGGTACTGCATAAAGAAGATATTGAAGACTAAAAATGTTTGAGGAAAAAACATTGTAAGGAAAGCAATTTGGGTAAAGAATAATGGAAATGAAGGGAAACAAAGGTATGAAAATGATGAGATGGGCCAAAGATATAGCTCAGCAGCACAGCATCTGCCTGGCAAGCATGAGGGTCTGAGATTGATTCCTAGTGAAAGAAAGAAAGAAAGAAAGAAAGAAAGAAAGAAAGAAAGAAAGAAAGAGGAAGGAAGGCAGGCAGGCAGAAGGGAAGAACATGATGATACATAGGAAAATGGTAAAATTAAGGCTGTGCCCAAGACAAAAAGTGTAGAGACAGTTAATCTGAGGTTTTTAAATTGGTTAGATCACAGCATGGAGACTTGGCTTTCTTAAGGTGTCTGAATTATTGGGAGACATGAAATGTTTGCAGCCATGAGAGTAGCCATGCAGGCTTCTGCCAGGCATCACACCATTTCTCTCTCTTTTTGCCATCCAGCCCTCCCTTCTGGGAATAAGGCCCCAGGCCTTACGTTGGGCAGTGGGTGCTAGGCTTTCCTGGGGCTGAAATGAAGCATCCACACGGGCACATATTCCAGAAGTGAAGACAGAGCTTCCACAAGCACGAGACCAGAGAGGAGCACAGGCCTGGGGATGGGTGGGAGACACGGTTATACCAAGCTTTGAAAGGAATGCCCATGCTCCTAGTTGAAGGAGGCACTGAGACCACTCCCTGAGAAGCCTTACTGTGCTTTCTAGGGGTTTAAACTCCTTGACGTTGCCACATAGAACAAGTTTCCCTTCCCACAATGTTCTTTTCTCTACCACAAACCTTCACAGACCCTACTCTTTCCTCAGCTCACCAGGAATCCCCCATCAGCATCTGTCTGTAGCAGAGACATCCCCAGGTGCATATTCACAGAAGGATGTGATGAATTTCCCAGTTGATAATCACCTGGTTGGAGGAAGGTGGAGGAGATAACATGGGGTCACGGATGGGATGGTCTAGTTTAGATTGGCTTTTGGAACAGAATGAGAAGGGATCAATATTAGAATGGAAATAGGAAGTGTATGTGTTATGGGGATGAAGAAACTGATGTATAAGGATTTTACCTACTAAGGTATAAAAGGGGTTTGGAAGGTGTCAGGCATTCTTACCCAAGTGGCTCTTGGCACAAGGGACACTGTGGGGGCCATCCACAGGGCATCGATAAACATCCCCTCTCCGGTCACCTGAAGGCCCATCCCAGGGGGCTCCCACCAGCATCCTGTGAGAAGGATGTGAATATATAAGTATAGGGCAAATGTGACCTTTGACACAGACCAGAAGGAAAGCATATGGAAGTGGCAACTTAAGAGCCCCAGCCACTTTCAAAAGAACAGGTGGCCTGAAGAGTCCCACCTATCGAGGCTGGGGATTTAGCTCAGCGGCATAAGCGCCTGCCTTGCAAGCAGGCAGTCATGAGTTCGATCCCTGGTACCAAAAAAGACAAAAAAAAAAAAAAAAAAAAAAAAAAGAGTCCTAGCTATCTTCTCTCCCATTTGTCAGCACTGCCAGGATCCCTGGTTTTCTCCTCACCATCGCCGTCCACCCACAACATGCTGTAAGACACTGTATCCAAATTCAGCCTCTGGTGGCCCCGTGAATAGGCGTGGGTGATGTGCATCCAGGTTAAAGGGGGAACAGAGACCTGGGGAGCCAAGATCATGAGGTTAGTGTGAAACGGTCACCCAGTAACTAGACAGAGCCACCCAGAGAAAGGACATAGGGAGCAACTTAATCTCAGCTTTCAGGATGATCCCCTCCTATGTTTGGGTCCTGTGGCCCTCTGCCATGCTGATGCACAGCTGTATTTCCATTCCTGCTCCTAAAATCTCATTCACAGACATCTCTGGAAAGGTCCAGTTACTCTTTTCCACATCATCCCTCCTACACATCTTCCTCTCCAAACTGCGAGGGTAAAAAGCGGGAAAGGGCCTTTCTGCAGCCCTAGAATAACCACTTATTACAAATTCTCCCCAAATCCAGGACTATATGAAGAGCGAAGAACAAGAGGATGGTAAAGAGCATTGTGTATCTGCGTCTTACCCCTAATTCTTCTTGACTCCCAGTGACAATATCACACTCTCTCTCTTTTTCCAGTGTCTAGGTTGCTGGTTGATTCCAGCCCTGAAAACCTCAGTGGTAATTAACTGGGTGGGGTTGCCTGCCTGTCCACACACAAAGTTTGCCAAGGGTCCCATCATCCCTGTCTTTATCCAGTCAGTTTTCTTTCTTTTCTTTTTTAAAATCTCATTTACCTTCCCAAATTCAGGGGTAAGCCCCTTGTTTACCTCCATGATTTCCTCAAACTTTGGTCCACTGGGAAGGCACTCAACCATACTTTGGCTGATTCTTCCCTTTCGATCCCAATTCCCTTGAAACCAAACTGGTATTTTAGGAAACAAAGATTATACAGGGCACTGGCAAGGAAAAATTCAGGCCTTTTGTCCCTTCCATGATTCTCTCCCCAAATTTGTGTCTTGTTCCTTACTTTCAAACAACTCAATCAGGCTACCCCACCAACAAGTATATCAATGGCTATAGCTCTAACTTAAACTTCTTGCTTTCAGAAAAATGTTTTGTATGGGAGCCTTTTTGCATCCAGGAACCTGGCCGGGATGTATGACCAAGAACTGTTGCTCATTGGTTATATAAACCCCAAGTTCTGACCACACATACAGTAAGGCAGTTATGCCTCATGCCCCAGGGATGCCAACAGTAGGGAGAATGAGGTACGCAAATCAGGCTAGCCACGTTGGAAGGTCACATCATGTTTCTTTACTATTTCCTCATTCCTATCCAGTTTAGGACAAAGGTTTCAGATTAGGCACAAATCTTACACAAGGCCCTAGACAGCTTCCGCTCTGCCAGTCTTCACACTGAAGCAGTCTTATGTAGGAACATAAGAATACATTCACACATATGAAACACAGAATTGATATTTACCTCCTGCCTAACTTCCCCCAAATTTTAACCTCAGTAGTGCCAATTCCAAACAATCTATATCCATTCCCCCCTGAAACCAACAAGTTAACTTCCCTCACCTGTCAGACACACCAGGGGCAAGAACAGGTGAGGGAGGAGGGGAAGCTCCATGCCTGGTTGTTCTGTCCTGTGTGAGAAGTCCTCTGTGCCTCTATCCCTTTCCTCTTCTGTTTTCTTTACTTTCTCTGCTATTCTGCCCCCTCCCACTGGCAGCTAAAAATAAAGTTGGAAGGAATGGGAGGAGTGCTGGTGGGAAACTGTGGGGAGCCCCAGACCAAGGAGAGGAGGGCTGAGTGATTTTAAATCTATTTGTCTGTCTCAGTGCTGCCCCCTGGAGGTCTCACCTCTACATCCAAAGTGGTCATAATTTTGAATTTATTTATTTATTTATTTATTTATTTATTTTGAGACTGGGTCTAGCCAAGTTAATGCTGAATCTGAACCCAGTATGTAGCCCAGGTTGGTCTCATGGCATTCCTCCTGCCTCAGCCTCCTAAGTGTTGGGACTACAGGCATGTGCCACCATGCCTGGCTATTTGACCTTTTCTGCTTTTTCTTTTCTCCTTTGTTGCCTAGTTAACAATGTTTTCCTCAGATTTGGAACAGAAAGGAGTGGGAGACAGACTTTTTTACTTCCTAACCCTATTTATCTCAACCTGGGGTATGCAAAATGAAAAAGCTGATAGCAGCAGTATTATCCCCTAGTGTGCAAACCAAGCCTTAAATGCTCCAGTCCACTTGGTTCTGCTTATGGCTCTTAGCCTGTTTTGTGGTGTTATAGCTTTTGGAGGGGCTATATCTATCAATTTTGGAGGTGTGTTTTGTGGGGCCAGTTTAATTTTACACTTTAGCATTAGACCACCCCTAACCCAATGCAACAAATATATACATTTATTTCTCAGAGGACTTGGGGGATAATGAAGCTTCTTAGCTTTTAGTACGTTTACTATTTAGTATTTTGCCCTGTACACTATAGGTGACCTACAATAATTTCTGGGTGATGTTAGCAGATAATCCCATGAAAAACCCAAACCACAGTGAGTGACAGGAATAAGTATCTCAAGTAATGAAAACATGAGGGACCAAACCAAGTATCAATGAGCAAACTGATCTTTAATTTGCTGACCTGGGAGGCTTGCTCTCCATTGTGTACATGGGCTACAGATATTTACACAGAATCCTTCTACAGTATTTACAGCAGGATGCTAGACACAGCATCAATCTGGATGGGTAAAGAGGTAAGAACCAACTAGGGACCAAAGCTCTGAAATCAAAGTGTAAGCAGAAATCTGAAGGTATGAGTACAGGGAAGGGTAAGGGCCAGATCATGAGAGAGGTTGGTGAGGTAGATGAGGATGGAAGAGGAAGCATTAAATAACCTGTGGTATAGAAATATAAAAAAAAGAGTTCACTGGGACATAAAGTTTTAAAAATTATGATTTATGCCAGGCATGGGGACATGTATTTGTAATCCCATTACTCAGGAGGCCGAGGTAGGAAGATCACTTGTTTTTGAGGCCAGCCTGGGCTGCATACTGAGGCCCTATATTAATAAACAACCAAAAAATTATGATTTGCAGCTTGAAGGAGAAAAAAAATTTTTCTACAAGCACACTCTGGGATAAAAAAAAAAAAAAAGGCAGATTCTTATAAATCAAATCTGATACCTTCTCTACCAAAAAAGATCTCCATTTAAACTCCTGGACAAGGGACTGAGCAGATACAGTAATAAGCATCTTAAAATAGACTTGAGATGATAAAATAGTCAAGAGCGATTCAGAGAGTAAAAGAGGAAAAGAACAAAAGTTTAGGCATATCTGGGTATCAGAATCATTCTATTGACAAGTCATGTGTCTTTGTCTCATCTTCCCCAAATCTCTTCCCTAAACCCCTAAATTTTGGATTTTAACTAATCAAGTAGTACAATTAGAATGAAGCTAGCACATGAAGAATGATCTAAAATTCTATTTCACCAATTCAGGTCCCCTCGTTTATCCTGCACCAGAGTGTCAAGGCTTGAGTCGTAACCAGGGATAGATTAGGGTGAGAATGGACAGGACAGAGGACACAAGTCCACAAAGCCCCACAATCCCAGGGCCACAGTGCCAGAGGCCTAATTTGTCCAGTGGAATGAAGAGATCACAAGAATTTTTTATCACATCCAGCAGAAGTGGGGGATGACCTTGAAGGACCCGAGCCAGGAGCAGGACTTGGAGCCGAAGCTTTAGAGCCAGTTGAGGCAGGCCTCTTCCTGGAGTTCCTGGTCCTCCAGCTCCTCCAGTTTCAAGTCCTCCTGGGACTCCTCCTCCAGAACCCCTCAGTCGCCGAATACAAGCTGAAGACTCTTGTTCCATGAGTAAGCGAATTTCATAAGCATCACGGCTCAGATTCATGATGAGGGAAAAGAGATAATACCTGAGATACACAGAGCAGAATCATGCAGGGTTAGACAGGGCATATAAAACTACTTAACATTCCAACATAATACTTAAAAATTTTTCCATGTAGTACAAGGAGCACACATTAGAACACCACAAGTGAATGCTGTAACCAACTATTAGAAATATCTCCTCACCAGGTATTATGATTTATATCTAAATGTCTCCCAAAAGCCACAGATGAGGACTTTGGAAGGTGACTGGATTATGGGGGCTTATGGCTGGCTTGTGAGGAAGTGGGATCTAATCAGAAGAGGCAGTCACTAGAGGCATGGCCTGGAAGGGTTTATGTCCCTTCCTAGCCTTTTCCTTCTCACTCACTGCTTCCTGTTCCCCATGAGGTAAGCAGCTATTCTTCCATCATGTCCCTGTGCCCCACCTTCTGCCTTGGAGCCAAATGACTGTGGACTGATACTGGAACCTAAATAAATTTCTCCTCCTTGAATTTGCAGTGTATTCTGCCTCAGTGATGAAGAAAATAAGACACCAGGCATGGTGCCACATGCCTGTATAAGCCTAGCACTCAGGAGACTGAGGTGGAAGGACTGCAAGTTCAAGACCAGCCTGAACCCCAGAGTAAGACCTCCTCTCCAAAAACCAAAAGAGGAAAATATATTCTTCCTTGAAGACATTTTGCTAGGTGAAATAAGCCAGATACAGACAAATATTACATGATTTTATCCGTGGGCTGTAAAAAATCTAATTCATAAAAAAAAAAAAAAAAATCTAATTCATAGAGGCACAGAAGGGATGATTGCCAGAGACTGGGAGGGTGGGGGAAGATTTTGGTCAAAGGGCACTAAGTTTTAGATATGCAAAAATGCGTAAGTCTTGGAGATCTAACATACAGCATGGTGATTATAGTTAACCATACTGTATGGTATATTTGGAATTTGCTAAAATAGATCTTAAGTATTCTCACCATAAAAAAAAGACAAACTGAGATGATGAATTTGTTAATTAACTTGTTGTGTTGATAATGTTACAACGGTACACATATAAAATATTTACAATTTCTAATTGTCAATTATATCCCAATAAGAATGAAAAAAAGGGGGCTGGGGATTTACAGGAATGTACCACTACACCCAGCTAAATTCATTTCTTTAAGAAAAAAAAAATATATGTATATATATATATACATATATTTTTTTTTTTTACATTTTTTTTTTTTTCCTTTTTATCGGTACCGGGGATCAAACTCATGACCACCTGCTTGCAAGGCAGGTGCTTATGCCGCTGAGCTAAATCCCCAGCCACTAAGAAAAATATTTTAAAAGAGGTGTTAGGTAATTGATAAATGTGTCAGATTATAAATTCCTTAAGTATATAATCTGTGTTGCTTTCAGTGCTGGAGATCAAATTTGGGCCCTTACACATGTCTGTAAAAGTTCTACCACTGAGCTAAAACCCAAGCCTCTATACTTGTATTTTTAATTTACTCTTACAATAGTGGTTGGTAATCAGTAAATTGCCCCCTTCCAGAATATATCCTGAAGCCAGTCATATTTCTCTATTGCTCCTCACCACTATAGTTTAAGCAGCTATTACCTTTTGCCTGGACTATTGCTTTTGCCTTTTAACTGGTCTCTGTAGCCCATTTTGCTCCATACCCAATAATTTATTTTCATAAAGGAGCTACCACAAAATAAATCACATTATTATTCCTGGTTTTAAACTTACCAGCATTTCCTTCCTGTCACATTTAGAATAACATCTACATACCTTAGACAGACTTTCAGATTCAACATCATCTGGCCCTTACCTCTGTCTTGTACCATTCCTTCTCCAATCACTATGCTCCATCATGTTGTTTTTTTTCTACATTTTGATCCTATCTTACCTTAAAGCATTAGCATTATCTAGTCCCTCTACTTGGAATCTTCTCTTAAAAACCTCATATGGGGGCTGGGGATTTAGCTCAGCAGCATAAGCACCTGCCTGGCAAGCACAAGGTCGTGAGTTCGATCTCTGGTACCAAAAAAAAAAAAAAAACAAAAAAACCTCACATGGCTCGCTCTTTTTTGTTCTTTAGGTCTGAACTTAAATGACACTTCTTCAAAGAGGTCTTCTATGACCCCTCAGTTTAAGACAGTGAAGTATTTACTCTCTATCACCTGACTCTGTTTCAATTTTCTGCATAGCACTTGCCATATTTGATATTCTTATTGTCCCTTCTTGTTACAATGTAAATCCCATAGGAACTTTAACCACTGTATCTCTGTGTGTAGACCAATGCCTACCACATAGTAAGAGCTCAATAAATATTTTTGAGGGGCTGGGGATTTAGCTCAGCAGCATAAGCACCTGCCTTGCAAGCAGGCTGTCGTGAGTTCGATCCCGGGTACAGATATATAAAAAAAAAAAAAAGCATAGCATGGAATAAATATTTTGAATAAAACAAATAAATATAGCATATAGACTCTTCCGGGGGAGTTGCTTTTTCATACCACTCCAGCTATGCTGCCATCTCCCAGCCCTCATACATCACAAACTATGTTTTACTTGTGACTTACTGAGAAAGACAAAGAGAAAAACAAGGCAGAAGTAGAGATGGGCAGATGGTAACACAATAAGAAGTACAAAGACAATTATAGGGAAACAAAAAACAAGTACAGGTAATCTATACATCTGTCCCTGGTATCTGAGGGGTTTGTTTCTTGGACTCTTCACAGATACCAAAATTTACAGATGATCAACTCCTGTATATTAAATGGCATAGTATTTTCATATAACCTATGCACATTCTTTTGTACATTTTAAATCATCTCTAGATTGCACTTATATAAATGTTATATGAACTGTAACAGAATTTTATTTCTAAGTCATAGATTTTTCTTTCCCCTTAGTTCAATGTTAGGGCATCTCTCTTGCCCCACATCATGTCACAAACAAGACAAATGTTTTTTTTGTCTTTTTCCTTTTTATCGGTACCAGGGATTGAACTCACGACTGCCTGCTTGCAAGGCAGGCGCTTATGCCGCTGAGCTAAATCTCCAGCCCCCGACAAATGTTGTTTTTGTTCTTTGGGTTTTGGGTTGTTTTTTGTTTTGTTTTGGTTTTTTTTTTTTTTTTGCTATGCTGGTGTGGACAGAACCAGAGCCTCTCTTGTGCTAGGAGGGTACTCTACTACTGACTAAATCCCCAGTACAAGACAGATTTCTTTAAATATAATTTGAATTGTGTTAGGTCCCTGGAGAGGACCCTTCAATAATGTCCCATTATATATAAACAATTTGGTTCCTGGCTTTCAAATTTGAATTTATCCCCCATACTCAATACCATCTATCACACTGACTTTCTTTCTACTGTTCTAATTGCCTGAAGCTTTTCCTGGCTCAAGGCCTTAGAATGTGCTATATTCTGTTTGGCAAGAGCTTATCTATTACTCTTTGTTTTGTCTAACTACTATTTCAGGTCTGAACTAAAATATCACTTTCTCAAAGACTTCTTCCATGATCTTTCAATCTAAGTTAGCTCCTCTTGTCATTATACTCTTATAACAATCTGTGGTTTTCCATAACATATTTGAGTAGTTATTTGTTTTAATGTTTCATTCCCCAACTAGAGTAGAAGCCTCATGGATATAGGCACATCTGTTTAGCTCTTTGCTTTATCCCGTAGCCCATAACAAATACCTAATATATGTTTATGGAAAAGTTGAGTGGAATGGTGATGGCCCTTGCAAACAGTCCCAACTACTTGGAGGCTGAGATAGGAGGATTGACTGAGCCCAAGAGTTTGGGACTAGCCTGGGCAACATACTGAGGCACACCTCTTTAAAAAAAAAAAACCTTTCAAATGAATAGTAAGCAGTGAGGGGGAATACCCATGGTATAACAGAAGCAAAATGGAAGTAATATCATGTCTTATCTTGTCCAGTCTTATTCATCATGGAAGGGCATGTGTCTTCCATCTGCCCCCATTTAGTATTTTCTGTTTAAGATGTACATGAAGATTGGAACCAAATGATTGCTTTACACATATATAGTTGCTTCTTGGTCTTCCTGGGGTATTGGGTTCCAAGATTCTGATGTATAATCGAATCTTACCAAAATCCAGATGCTTAAATCTTTTATATAAAATAGTATAGTAACCGCATATTACCTACCTATATATTCTTATATAGTTTAAATCATCTCTATATTACTTATAATACCTAACTCAACATAAATGCTATAAAGAGTCACTACTATATTAAGGAATATCAAGAAGAAAAAAGTTTGTACATGTTCAACACAGATGCAATTTCTCTACCTAACATTTTCCATTTGTGGTTGACTGAATCCATGAATGTGGAAGCCAAGAATATGGATAGCCAACTGTACACTCTGGGAAGAACATGAGAGAGCTTTCTTTCATAAAAAGCAAGGTACAGAGTATGGGGTTACATAAGATCTTGTAGGATAAATGGAAAACAAACCTGAACCCAGGCATGGTAGCGCATGCCTGTAATCCAAACACTCAGGAGATCTCTGTGAGTGTAAGTTCAAGGTCAGCCTGGACTACATCATGAACCTAAGGCCAGACTACACTACAAAGTGAGACCCGCTCAAAAAAAAAAAAAAAAGTAACAAACCTGAATGAGCGCTGAGCCCACTTCTCCTGATCCACACGGGGAGCTAGTCCAGACTTTCCAGCCCATAGGACATTGTCACATGCGAAGTACAAGGCTCGATTGAGGTGACTAACCGTGATGCAGAATCTCAGGACAACATCTGATAGGTGCACAGCTCTTTTGGCTGACTCGAGAGCATCTGCTGAGTTGCCCAAGCGCAGAACTTGTGGAGATTCACAAGACAATGCAAGGAAATGAAAGCAGAAACACAGAGAGCAAGATACAAAAAAAGAGAAAGCCAAGAAGGTGAAAGTGAAGCAAGTGATAGTAACACACAAGCAAACAAACAAAAAAAGTAGAAACAGTTCATTCTTTTTTGCTTCAAATTTTTAAAATTTATTTTTAATTTTTGGTGGTACTGGGATTGAACTCAAGGTCTTCAAGTGAGCTACCTCCCCAACCTGTTTTGTTGTTGTTGTTTGTTTGTTTTGGCTTTGATTTGTTTTGCTTTTTTGAGACAAAGTCTTGCTAAGTAGTATTGGCTGGTCTTGAACTTTCAGCAATTCTGCCTTAGCCTCCCAACTGCTGGGATCATACATGTGCATCACCATGCCCAGCTCCCAGCCCTTTTAAAATTTTTATTTTTATTTTGAGACAAATTCTTGTTAATCACTATGTTGTCCAGCCTGAACTCAAGTCTCTTGTCTCAGCTTCCCACAGTACTGCACTTAAAATTCTAATTTCTACTCCAGTTTAAGTGTCCTCAAACTTGCTCCCTTCTAATCATTATTTCCTTATACCTGCTCTCTTATCATAATTGGAGACATGCAGAAGATGAGAACAGAGCCAAGTGAGGGAAAAGAACTCGTGAGGAGAAAAAACAGGAAGGAGGGACAATGGGAGAATGGGGGAAGGAAAAAAGGTTGGAGTGACAAAAGTTACAGTCACTTACGCTTTCTCCCAAGGCTCAGATGCCCCTCCAGTTGTTGAATCTGTTTCTGTAACTCAAGACTGGCCCCACGTCTCTGCAGTGCATGGCCAAGAAGGGAGCACGCATACTGGGCAGCCCTGGAGGAGAAGACGCAAAATATGGTGGCGACCTCGCTAACCTCCCCTTTCAAAAATACCCTTCAAAAGACAAAGACTTCCCCTTTTCTCCTCTTCATGCCCATATTTCACAGTTTCTCCTCCAGGCCTGGGAAAAGAAAAGGCATTTTTAAAAAAGAACCAGCAGCGTATAACAGGAAAAGGGAGCACTATTTAGAGTTCACAAAATAAGAAACTTGACAATGATTAGGTAGAAGAGGGCCAGAGAAGGCAGCAAGGTTCCATCATAAGCGCCTCTGTGCACGTTCAAGACATGTGAAGGAGGGGATGGGGATTTAGCTCAGCGGCATAAGCGCCTGCCTTGTAAGCAGGCAGTCGTGAGTTCGATCCCTGGTACCGATAAAAACGAAAAAAAAAAAAAAAAAAAAAAAAAACATGCGGAGAGGGGTACGGCCAAAAGCTGAACTAAAAAATTCACCTCTAGATGAACGCAGACCAAAAGAATGCAGAGCTGTTGGCAGCTGTCAATAAAATGAGGGGAAAGGAAACTGGGAGCTTCCCAGCTCGGGGCAAAAAGTCCACATCGCTATTCATAGCGGGGGAAACGCTCCTCATTCCACATCGCCTAGTGAGGAAACTGTTGAATTTATGTGGGCACAGGAACCTTAAATGGCCTCCCCGCTTGCTCACTCATGCCTCAGTTTTTCCATCTTTCCCGTGAGCAGAAAAGAATAATCTCTTCACGACTGTGATTCTCAAAATCCGCACGGGCCGCCGTAGCCAGAGTTGGCCCTTTTGGATCCCCGTAGTCCTGCTTGCCTTCGCCTCGCCAGAACCTTCTTCTGCCCATCCCTCTCCCTTTCCTCTTTGGGCCGCACCTACACAGACGCTCCCGAGCCTGGCTCTGAGAACTGAAGCGGACCCAGGCGTCCATGACAGCGGCAGCCGCAGCTCCACTGCCCCGTCCCGCCCTACTTCCAGCCCCTAGTCACGCCTCCTAGGCTTGCTAACGGTGCCTCACGAGGGACAAACAGTATCAGAAAAGAAAATGTGTGAAGGCAGCTCTGAAAGCGGAATTTCAGAACGCGAAGCACTTGTCTTTGGATCTGCCTTCTCATGTTATTGTGCGTGAATCTCTTTAAGAACATGCCTTCAAAAAACAGTCTCTTAAGCACACTTCTAGCATTATATTGCTTTAAATATTCAAGAATAAAGGCGGGTCCTACAGGGGTGGAGCCAGAAAGCGCAGCAGGGAGCTCTGCGAACCCGAGACTAGGATACGCCCCGGAGGCTGGGATAGAGTTCATTTAGAGTGCGTCTCGCTGAACACCCACTACTCGTTTACCCCTCAGACCGACACACATTCACACGCTTGGCCTGAATTTTGGATTCTAGGTGCTAAAAGGGTCTTCAGCAGTTGAACCCCGAAGCCCAGACTAATCTATGGTAGGGAAACGGGAATGATTAGCACCAGATTTCTATTTAGTGACCTTCTCCAGCGTAGATGGAGAGTCTGCAGAGACTGCAGTGGACGAAATTTGCAATCACCAGTTTCAAACGTTAAAAGAAAAACAAAGAATCAGCAGCCAAAGCTAACCGTTTCACACCACTATTCGTCCTCCCCGCGCTTCCCTTTAGGCCACCATGTCGATGGTGGCAGGCAATGGCACCACTTTGGGGTCGATGGTGGCAGGCAATGGCACCACTTTGGGGTCACCGGTTGGGGAGGAAATCTGGGCAGGATCAGAAGTGGAGGTGGAGGGCTCAGAGCTGCCCATTTCTCAGCTGCAGCCAAGGTGCGAGTAGGAGTGACCATTGTGCTCTTTTTTTCTTCTGCTGGAGGGAATCTGGCCGTGCTCTGGTCAGTGACACGGCTGCAACCCAGCCAGCTCCGTCCCTCTCCCGTCCGGCGACTCTTCGCCCACTTAGCCATTGCGGACTTACTGGTAACTTTTGTGGTTATGCCTTCAGATGCTACCTGGAATATTACCGTTCAGTGGCTGGCTGGGAACATCGCATGTCGAACACTCATGTTCCTAAAACTAATGGCCATGTACGCTGCAGCTTTCCTGCCAGGGGTCATCGGGCTCGACCGCCAGGCGGCAATACTCAACCCACTTGGACGCCGCTCAAGTGGAAGGAAACTTGTAGGGGCATCCCGGAGACTTAGTTTCCTGCTTGCTTTGCCCCAGGTAAGTGACTTGTCGGGACTCAGGCTTGGGAATTTAGTTACCAAATATGAGTCTGGGGAGTCAAAGCAGTTATCCGCCATTAGCCAATAATCCTACGGCAGGTGTCTCTGCCATCTCTTAGGCAAGTTAAGATCATTTGCACGTTAATTTACATCTGTTAAGAGCCTACGGTACCTATTATCGGTGCTGCTTCCTTTAGGTTTGCTTTTTAGCTTCCACCTCTTTGCATCCTCTAGGCATACTGGTGCAGTCTAGGAGACTGGTACAGAAAGACTCTAGGGCTGGAAGGAAACAGGGTTTTAAAAAAAGAGAGTGAAGGGGCTTTGGTTAAAGCTTTGTGGTACATTTATTTATCAATTTAAAAAATAACATGAAATCTTTCCAAGTACATTCAAATGCTTAGGAAAGAGTAGCAAAGCCTTACATTCAAGAAACCTGTAGACTAGTGCAGGAAACTAATTAGGCAGTTAGCATATTGTGTGCGGTGTTACACTCTAAAGGTTAGGAGTTGAGAAACAGTGGAGGGTGACTGACTCACCGGGTGCCAGGGAAAGCTTTCTGAAGATATTAAAATCTGATTCTTGAAATACAGAAAGTTGTAAAAGAAGTTAAACAGGAGAAATGCTGGGGAGAATGGAGGGTACAGGTAGCAACCTTACTACCGAAGTTTAAAACTATAAAATGAAAAAAAAAAAAAAAAAACCAACTAGAAAACGATAAATAATGAGCAGGGAGGGAAAGGGCAGGGCAAAGCCTAGACATTAAGAGTGTATTTTACCTTGAGAGCAGTGGAGCCACCCTAAGGTTAAGAGGTAAAGAGCAACATAATTTTGTATTTTTTACTCTGACTTTATTGTGGAATGGGGGTTAAAACTGGCAACAAAGGAGCTTGTAAACTTTAATACTGCTTAATCAAGTCTCAATAGTGAAAAGGAGCCAGAAGTCGAGAAAAAAAGCTAATTGTAAAACAATACTTTAAAAAATGCTATCAACATAATGGAGTAATACATTTTGAGACAGTGAGATTAGGATTATGTATGGAAGGAAGCCAAAGATCAATGATTTTCAGTCTGTGATAGTACTGTAATAATGCATTATAGTCAATGATTTAAGATTTCATCAAATTCTCAATTAGAAATTTAACCATTGGTGGATATGGTGGTGCATGCCTGAAATCCCAGCACTCTGGAGGCTGAAGCAGGAGGGATCATAGTGAGTTCAAGGCCACCCTGGGTTACATGACTTCAAAGCCAAACTGAACTATATAGTGAGACCCTATCTTAAAGACAAAACAAAAACCCAGAAATCTAACTATCAGAACTGAGTACTAGGGTCCGGGATATAGCTCAATGGCATAAGCACCTGCCTGGCAAGCACAAGGTCCAAGGTTCAATTCCTGAAGTGAGTATAGCCAGGCAAGGTGGAAAATACTTGTAATTCCAGCACTCTGGGAGGGTGAGGCAGAGATTGCAGGTTTGGACTCAGCCAGGGCAACTTAGTGATTTAGTGACATCCAGTCTAAAAAAGAAAAATATATAATAAAAATCTTTATAATAAAATCTTTATTATATATATTACTTCTGTCAGTGTTACAAACAGAGCCTCTACCAACCGAAGTGAAAAACATAGGGTGTTGCCACAGTGCAGCAGAAATCACAGTTGGGTTTTTTTGTTTGTTTTGGGTTTTTTTTGTCTTTTTCATTTTTATCGGTACCAGGGATCGATACTCACGACTGCCTGCTTGCAAGGCAGGTGCTTATGCCGCTGAGCTAAATCCCCAGCCCCCACAGTTGTGTTTAAATGAAGCAGACTGTAGATGTAGATTGGGAATTGGAGGATATTTTGTTGCATTGATTTATTATTTTTTGAGTGTAGGTTATACCACTAACTTAGGATTTGGGCTAGGTCATTTAAATTAATGATCATTTTATAATCTGGCATTATTACCTGATAGTAATTGCAACCTCTGTAGGTCTTAGTAGCAAACTGTCCTAACAAGTATATGTGCAAAAATAACATACATATTTTTAGTTCCTGGTTAAGTGATCTTTTGGATAGAATCTGCATTGCTATATGCTATCATTGTTATTTAAAATATTACTGTCAATTAAAAATATTATGGCCAGGGGCTGGGGATTTAGCTCAGCGGCCTAAGTATCTGCTTTGCAAGCAGGCGGTTGTGAGTTCGATCCCCGGTACCGATAAAAATGAAAAAGACAAAAAAAAAAATTATGGCCGTAGCTGGGTTGTAACTCAGCTGCATAAGCACCTGCCTGGCAAGCTCAAGGTCATAAGTTTAACACCCAAAACCAAAAGAAAAAAAAAATTATGGCCTTATCAATTGTGGCAAAGGAGTATTAGGAATAGTAAGGAATTACTTTGCTTTTTTTGTAACACTGGCAATTGAACCCAGGGCATCAAACATGCTAAGCAGCCACTCTACTATCAAGCTACACCCTTGGTAATTACTTATTTTTGTAGACTCATTTTTTTTTTTTTTTTTTTTTTTTTAGTACCAGTGATCAAACTCACGACCTCACGCTTGCCAGGCAGGCACTTATGCCATTGAACTAAATCCCCAGCTTCTGTAGACTCATTTCTAAATTAGCACTATTTGAAAGGGCAGTTCCTATTGTAGATGGATAAATCACATATAAAATGGAAAAGGAAGTAGATACAAGGTTATGGACCAAACTGTGAGTTTAGAGACTTTAAATTTTTATACTCCTTACAGTTCAAGTATTTCTAGACATAATGCAAAAAAAATTAAACATCCAGAGATATATGGACACAAGATAGGTGAAAAGGAAAGACAACTCCCCAACTAATTCAGAGCAGCCTGATCGTATCTCCAAGAACTTTGTATTCACCTTTCTTAAGTTTCTCATGCTTGCCTAACTTTCCCAAATGCCTCAGAATATCTAAGGAATCTGACACCCATCAAGTTTAACTTTTACCAAATTAACAGTAACTTAATCTGCATTACTAGAGCCAAGCATTCTATCTAACCCTGTAACTCTAAAATTTAAAAATGCTTCTGATTCAACCCAAAAACCCAGCAATTTAAAAAACGGGGAAAGGGTATCCAATAGCATTTGAAATTTGTTATTCTATCATTATAGTTACTGTACATAACACCATTACTAAAGGTCATTTTAGAGTGGCTGTAAAAATGGCCTCATTTTTTTCAAAGAGAGAAAACAATGAAAACAATTATACAAAACTTTAAAACAAAATAGGAGCGTAATAATGGTTAATACATTGTGTATTGTTATCTTCAAAGTAGTTCCTCAGGTGGCCTGAAACTTTTTTTTTTTTTTTTTTGCGATACTGGGGATTGAACTCACGACCTCGTGCTCACCAGGCCAGCGCTTATGGGTGGCCTGAAACTTTAACAGCACCTATTTTATACACTTCCCCCCTCTATTATTTACCAGACATATCAGAAAAATCATTTCAACTAAAGATGTGAATGAAATAGTGGAGACATTTTTACAAAGTGCAATGTTAAAATCTGAGAAGCCAGTTTATTTTTTTAAGACAGGGTCGCACCACACAGTTGAGGCTGGCCCTGAGCTCACTTTGTAGCCCAGGCTGGTCTCGGACTCAAAGTGGTTCTCCTGCTTCGGCCTCCCAAGTGCTAGGATTACAGGTATGCGCCACCATGCCCAGCAAAGCCAGATTTTTTTCAATTTTAGGATTTAACAAACTTCATTCTTTGCACCATATTCAACCCTAATGAAAAAATAGCCATTTTCAAGGTACACTGCCTATCTTTATAAAGTAGCACAATGAATCACATGTAATCCCAGCATATAGCATGCT